GTGTGTGTGTGCGTGTGTGTGTGCGTGTGTGTGTGTGTGTGCGTGTGTGTGTGTGCGTGTGTGTGTGGTGTGTGTGTGTGTGTGCGTGTGTGTGTGCGTGTGTGTGTGCGTGTGTGTGTGTGTGCGTGTGTGTGTGTGCGTGTGTGTGTGCGTGTGTGTGTGTGTGCGTGTGTGCGTGTGTGTGTGTGTGTGTGTGTCGGTGTGTGTGTGTGTGTGTGTGTGTGTGTGTGTGTGTGTGCGTGTGTGTGTGGGTGTGGTGTGTGTGTGCGCGTGTGTGCGTGTGTCGTGTGGTGTGTGCGTGTGGTGGTGTGCGGTGTGTGCGGCGTGTGTGCTGTGTGTGTGTGTGTGTCTGTGTGTGTGTGTGCGTGCGCTGGGGGTGGTCTCGGGAGCGTGGCCAGCGGGGAGTAGCGGTCAGCGCTACTCCGCCCCTACACGAACCCGGCCTCACCGAGTTCCATTCCCGCTCGCGGCCACCAACACCGCCGGTGACGACAGAAATCTGAACCGGTCCCGGGCCTCCTGACTAGGTCGACTCGGCCTCAACGAAGTACCTGGTGCGGTGTGTAAACATCGCCGCTGGGGAGACAAAGGCGGCCGGGCGTGCGTGGTACCGGCCACCTCGCCCCCCACCTCGTGCGGCCGTGCCGACCTTCGTAGGTGCCGCTCGCTAACGGCGCTTGACCCGGCCGCCCGTGCAGGCTACACGGTGGAGGGCGGGACCTTTGCCTGTACCTAACCGTGTGTGCATCGCTGCGCCAGGTACAAGGTGGTGCCGCTCCACTCGGTGCTGTCGTCGCGCGACCAGAGCGCCGCTTTCTCCATCCCTCCGCCGGGTGTGCGCAAGTACGGTCTCTGTTGAGTCTGTGGGTCTCTGTGTGAGTCTATGGGTTTCTGTGTGAGTCTGTGGGTTTTTGTGTGAGTCTGTGGGTCTCTGTGTGAGTCTGTGGCTCTCTGTGAGTCTGTGGATCTCTCTGCGTGAGTGGGTCTCTGCGTGAGTCTGTGGGTCTCTGTGTGAGTCTGTGGGTCTCTGTGTGAGTCTGTGGGTCTCTGTGTGAGTCTGTGGGTCTCTGTGTGAGTCTGTGGGTCTCTGTGTGAGTCTGTGGGTCTCTGTGTGGGTCTATGGGTCTCTGTGTGAGTCTGTGGGTCTCTGTGTGAGTCTTGGGTCTCTGGTGAGTCTGTGTCTCTGCGTGAGTCTGTGGGTCTCTGTGTGAGTCTGTGGGTCTCTGCGTGAGTCTGTGGGTCTCTGTGTGAGTCTGTGGGTCTTGTGCGAGTGTGGGTCTCTGTGCGAGTCTGTGGTCTCTGTTGAGTCTGTGGATCTCTGTGGAGTCTGTGGGTCTCTGCGTGAGTCTATGGGTCTCTGTGTGAGTCTGTGGGTCTCTGTGCGAGTCTATGGGTCTCTGTGTGAGTCTGTGGGTCTCTGTGTGAGTCTGTGGGTCTCTGTGCGAGTCTGTGGGTCTCTGTTCGAGGCTGTGGGTCTCTGTGTGAGTCTGTGGGTCTCTGTGTGAGTCTGTGGGTCTCTGTGTGAGTCTGTGTGTCTCTGTGTGAGTCTGTGGGTCTCTGTGTGAGTCTGTGGGTCTCTGTGTGAGTCTGTGGGTCTCTATGAGTCTGTGGGTCTCTGTGCGAGTCTGTGGGTCTCTGTTCGAGTCTGTGGTCTCTGTGTGAGTCTGGGGTCTCTGTGTGAGTCTTGGGTCTGTGTGAGTCTGTGGGTCTCTGTGTGAGTTGGGTCTCTGTGTGAGTCTGTGGGTCTCTGGTGAGTCTGTGGGTCTCTGTGTGAGTTGTGGGTCTCTGTGTGTGAGTCTATGGGTCTCTGTGTGAGTCTGGGTCTCTGTGTAAGTCTATGGGTCTCTGTGTGAGTCTGTGGTCTCTGGTGAGTCTGTGGGTCTCTGTGTGAGTCTGTGGGTCTCTGTGTGAGTCTGTGGGTCTCTGTGTGAGTCTGTGGGTCTCTGTGTGAGTCTGTGGGTCTCTGTGCGAGTCTGTGGGTCTCTGTGTGAGTCTGTGGGATCTCTGTGTGAGTCTGTGGGTCTCTGTGAGTCTATGGGTCTGTGTGAGTCTGTGGGTCTCTGCGTGAGTCTGGGTCCTCTGGTGAGTCTGTGGGTCTCTGTGTGAGTCTGTGGGTCTCTGTGCGAGTCTGTGGTCTCTGTGAGTCTGTGGGTCTCTGTGTGAGTCTGTGGGTCTCTGTGTGAGTTTGGGTCTCTGCGTGAGTCTGTGTGTCTCTGCGTGAGTCTGTGGGTCTCTGTGTGAGTCTGTGGGTCTCTGTGCGAGTCTACGGGTCTCTGTGTGAGTCTATGGGTCTCTATGTGAGTCTACTGGTCTCTGTGTGAGTCTACGGGTCTCTGTGTGAGTCTACGGGTCTCTGCGTGAGTCTATGGGTCTCTGTGTGAGTCTGTGGGTCTCTGTGTGAGTCTATGGGTCTCTGTGTGAGTTGGGTCTCTGCGTGAGTCCTGTGGGTCTCTGTGTGAGTCTGTGGGTCTCTGGGTGAGTCTGTGGGTCTCTGTGTGAGTCTGTGTGTCTCTGTGTGAGTCTGTGGGTAACCAGCCGTGCTAATTTGGAGGTGCGTGGGGTTGGGAAGGCCAACAGACTAACCACAAAAAGCTGTTCTAAAGAAACGAGGACGTTCACCTCGTCGTCGATGACGTCATCGAGGACGATGACGTCATCGATGACGACGTCGCCGTCGGCGAGCCCACCGCTCCGTCGAGCCGCTGCCGTTTTGGTTCTCGCGACTCGCAGATCGTGCTGGCGACCAACATCGCCGAGACGGGCATCACCATCCCCGACGTGGTGTTCGTCATCGACGGCGGGACGCAGCAAGGAGAACAGGTGGCGCCTCCGTCGTCACGATCGCAATCATCATCATCATCGTCGTCGTCGTCGTCGTCGCTGTCGTCACGATCGTCATCATCACTGTCATCATGGTCATCGCTATCACCACCACTATCATCATCATCATCAATGTTATCTCTATCACCACCACTGTCATCACCACCATCATCACCACCATCACCACCACCATCACCACCACCATCACCACAACCATCATCATCACCACCACCATCATTATCACCACCATCACCAACAGCACTTGCCCCGACAGTCCGTGGCGGCGGTGGTGGCGGTGGTGGCGGTGGCGGTGGCGGTGGTGGTGGTGGCGGTGGCGGTGGTGGTGTGATCTTTGCCTGTGTGTGCGTGCGTGGGGCAGGTACAGCGAGAGCGGGCAGATGAGCTCCCTGGTGGAGACGTTCATCAGCAAGGCGAGCGCTGAGCAGCGGCGCGGGAGGGCGGGACGCGTACAGCCGGGATTCTGCTTCCGTCTCTACACTCGCAGCAGGTGGTGGCACCACCCCCACCCTCACACCCCCCTCACACCACCCCCACCCTCACACCACCCCCCCCCTCACACCACCCTCACACCACCCCCACCCTCACACCACCCTCACACCACCCCCACCCTCACACCACCCCCACCCTCACACCACCCCCACCCTCACACCACCCCCACCCTCACACCCCCCCCCACCCCACACCACCCCCACCCTCACCCACCCCCACCCCTCCCACCACCCCCACCCTCACACACCCCCCCCCACCCTCACACACCCCCTCCACCCTCACACCACCCCCACCCCACACCACCCCCCACCCTCACACCCCCCCCCACCCTCAACACCACCCTCACACCACCCCCACCCTCACACCTTCACACCCCCACCCTCACACCCCCACCCTCACACCACCCCACCTCACACCACCCCCACCCTCACACCCCCCCCACCCTCACACCACCCCCACCCTCACACCACCCCACCCTCACACCACCCCCACCCTCACACCCCCCCCACCCTCACACCACCCCCACCCTCACACCACCCCCACCCTCACACCCCCACAACCCCCCACCCTCACACCCCCACCCTCACACCACCCCCACCCTCACACCCCCCCCACCCTCACACCACCCCCACCCTCACACCACCCCCACCCTCACACCCCCCCCCACCCCTCACACCACCCCCACCCTCACCACCACCCTCACACCACCCCCACCCCTCACACCACCCCCACCCTCACACCACCCCCACCCTCACACCACCCCCACCCTCACACCACCCCCACCCTCACACCACCCCCACCCTCACACCCCCCCCACCCTCACACCACCCCCACCCTCACACCACCCCCACCCTCACACCACCCCCACCCTCACACCACCCCCACCCTCACACCCCCCCCACCCTCACACCACCCCCACCCTCACACCACCCCCACCCTCACACCCCCACACCCCCACCCTCACACCCCCCACCCTCACACCACCCCCACCCTCACACCACCCCCACCCTCACACCCCCCCCACCCTCACACCACCCCCACCCTCACACCACCCCCACCCTCACACCACCCCCCACCCTCACACCACCCCACCCTCACACCCCCCCCACCCTCACACCACCCCCACCCTCACACCACCCCCACCCTCACACCCCCACACCCCCACCCTCACACCCCCACCCTCACACCACCCCCACCCTCACACCCCCCCACCCTCACACCACCCCCACCCTCACACCACCCCCACCCTCACACCACCCCCACCCTCACACCACCCCCACCCTCACACACCCCCACCCTCACACCACCCCCCACCCTCACACCACCCCCCACCCTCACACCACCCCCACCCTCACACCACCCCCCACCCTCACACCACCCCCACCCTCACACCCCCCCCACCCTCACACCACCCCCCACCCTCACACCACCCCCACCCTCACACCACCCCCACCCTCACACCACCCCCACCCTCACACCACCCCCACCCTCACACCACCCCCACCCTCACACCCCCCCCACCCTCACACCACCCCCACCCTCACACCACCCCCACCCTCACACCCCCCACACCCCCACCCTCACACCCCCACCTTCACACCACCCCCACCCTCACACCACCCCCACCCTCACACCCCCCCCACCCTCACACCACCCCCACCCTCACACCACCCCCACCCTCACACCCCCCCCACCCTCACACCACCCCCACCCTCACACCACCCCCACCCTCACACCCACCCCCACCCTCACACCCCCCCCACCCTCACACCACCCCCACCCTCACACCACCCCCACCCTCACACCCCCACACCCTCACACCCCCCCCCACCCTCACACCACCCCCACCCTCACACCACCCTCACACCACCCCCACCCTCACACCACCCCCACCCTCACACCACCCCCACCCTCACACCACCCCTCACCACCACCCCCACCCTCACACCACCCCCACCCTCACACCACCCCCCACCCTCACACCACCCCCACCCTCACACCACCCCCACCCTCCACACCACCCTCACACCACCCCCACCCTCACACCACCCCCACCCTCACACCACCCCCACCCTCACACCCCCCCCACCCTCACACCACCCCCACCCTCACACCACCCCCACCCTCACACCCCCCCCACCCTCACAACGCCCCCACCCTCACACCGCCCCCACCCTCACACCGCCCCCACCCTCACACCACCCCCACCCTCACACCACCCCCACCCTCACACCACCCCCACCCTCACACCACCCCCACCCTCACACCCCCCCCACCCTCACACCCCCCCCACCCTCACACCACCCCCACCCTCACACCACCCCCACCCTCACACCCCCCCCACCCTCACACCACCCCCACCCTCACACCACCCCCACCCTCACACCCCCCCCACCCTCACACCACCCCCACCCTCACACCACCCCCACCCTCACACCCCCACACCCCCACCCTCACACCCCCACCCTCACACCACCCCCACCCTCACACCACCCCCACCCTCACACCCCCCCCACCCTCACACCACCCCCACCCTCACACCACCCCCACCCTCACACCACCCCCACCCTCACACCACCCCCACCCTCACACCACCCCCACCCTCACACCACCCCCACCCTCACACCACCCCCACCCTCACACCACCCTCACACCCCCCCCCCCCACTCCTTCTCACCACCCCCCTCCTCACACCACCCCCACCCTCACACCCTCACACCCCCCCTCCTCCTCACACCCCCCCCCCCTACCAAGCCACCCCCCCCATCCCTCTCCTCCTCACCCCTCCCCCATCCCCCCCTCCTCACCGCTCCCACAGCCCCCGCCCCTCCCAGCCCCTTCCCCCCCTCTCCTCACACCCCCCGCCCACCTGCTCATATCCCCCCCTCCTCACATCCACCTCCAAACCACACCCCCCCAAGCCACACCCCTCCCCAAGCCACACCCCCCCTCCTCGCACCCCCCCAAGCCACACACCTACCCAAGCTACACCCCCTCCTCCTCGCACCCCCCCAAGCCACACCCCTATCCAAGCCACACCCCCTCCTCCTCGCACCCCCCCCAAGCCACACCCCTACCCAAGCCACACCCCCACCCAAGCCACACCCCCCACCTCACACCCCCCAAGCCACACCCCCACCCAAGCCACACCCCTCCCCAAGCCACACCCCCTCCTCCTCACACCCCTACCCAAGCCACACCCCTCCCCAAGCCACACCCCCCCTCCTCGCACCCCCCAAGCCACACCCCTACCCAAGCCACCCCCCACCCAAGCCACACCCCCCCTCCTCACACCCCCCCAAGCCACACCCCCCCCAAGCCACACCCCTCCCCAAGCCACACCCCCCCTCCTCGCACCCCCCAAGCCACACCCCTACCCAAGCCACACCCCCTCCTCCTCACACCCCCCCAAGCCACACCCCTATCCAAGCCACACCCCCTCCTCACACCCCCCCCAAGCCACACCCCTACCCAAGCCACACCCCCACCCAAGCCACACCCCCCCTCCTCACACCCCCCCAAGCCACACCCCCCCCAAGCCACACCCCTCCCCAAGCCACACCCCTCCCCAAGCCACACCCCCTCCTCCTCACACCCCTACCCAAGCCACACCCCTCCCCAAGCCACACCCCCTCCTCCTCACACCCCTCCCCAAGCCACACCCCCTCCTCCTCACACCCCCCCCACCGTGGTGCTGCTCACTGCTGCGCGTGTCTGCCCTTCACGTGGCCTCAACGTGCACGTAGCCTGGCACAGGCGCCGTGGTGACGTCGCCGCCACTTGGTGGCCCCGACGGTCTGTTGGAGGCTTCACGGGGCCCCTTTGTCTTTGTGTGGGCAGGTACGAGGGATTCCCGCAGTACGCCGTGCCGGAGATCCAGCGGATGCCCTTGGAGGAGCTGTGCCTCAGCATCATGGTGAGAGGGGGGACGCCTCCCACCCCCCCCCCCCCCACTACTCACCACCCCACCCTGGACGCCTCCAATAATAACCTGCTTCACTACTTAGCCTTGCACACACCCACTCGTCCACCCACCCACTCGTCCACCCATCCACTCGTCCACCCACCCACTCGTCCACGCACCCACTCGTCCACCCACCCACCCGTCCACCCACCCACCCGTCCACCCACCCACTCGTCCACCCACCCACTCGTCCACCCACCCACTCGTCCACCCACCCACTCGTCCACCCACCCACTCGTCCACCCACCCACTCGTCCACCCACCCACTCGTCCCCACCCACCTGTCCACCCACCCACTCGTCCACCCACCCACTCGTCCACCCACCCACTCGTCCACCCACCTACTCGTCCACCCACCCACTCGTCCACCCACCCACTCGTCCACCCACCTACTCGTCCACCCATCCACTCCTCCACTCACCCACCCATCCACCCATCCACTCGTCCACCCACCCACTCGTCCACCCACCCACTCGTCCACCCACCTACTCGTCCACCCAACCACTCGTCCACCCACCCACTCGTCCACCCACCCACTCGTCCACCCACCCACTCGTCCACGCACCCACTCGTCCACCCACCCACCCGTCCACCCACCCACTCGTCCACCCACCCACTCGTCCACCCACCCACTCGTCCACCCACCCACTCGTCCACCCACCCACTCGTCCACCCACCCACCTGTCCACCCACCCACTCGTCCACCCACCCACTCGTCCACCCACCCACTCGTCCACCCACCTACTCGTCCACCCACCCACTCGTCCACCCACCCACTCGTCCACCCACCCACTCGTCCACCCATCCACTCGTCCACTCACCCACCCATCCACCCATCCACTCGTCCACCCACCCACTCGTCCACCCACCCACTCGTCCACCCACCTACTCGTCCACCCATCCACTCGTCCACCCACCCACTCGTCCACCCACCCACTCGTCCACCAACCCACTCGTTCACCCACCCACTCGTCCACCCACCCACTCGTCCACCCATCCACTCGTCCAACCACCCACTCGTCCACCCATCCACTCGTCCACCCATCCACTCGTCCACCCACCCACTCGTCCACCCACCCACCCGTCCACCCACCCACCCGTCCACCCATTCACTCGTTCAGCCACCCACTCGTCCACCCACCCACTCGTCCACCCACCCACTCGTCCACCCACCCACTCGTCCACCCACCCACCCATCCCGCACCCACTCGTCCACCCACCCACTCGTCCACCCACCCACTCGTCCACCCACCCACTCGTCCACCCACCCACTCGTCCACCCACCCACTCGTCCACCCACCTACTCGTCCACCCACCCACTCGTCCACCCACCCACTCGTCCACTCACCCACTCGTCCACTCACCCACTCGTCCACCCACCCACCCGTCCACCCACCCACCCGTCCACCCACCCACTCGTCCACCCACCCACTCGTCCACCCACCCACTCGTCCACCCACCCACCTCGTCCACCCACCCACTCGTCCACCCACCCACTCGTCCACCCATCCACTCGTCCACCCACGCACTCGTCCACCCACGCACTCGTCCACTCGTCCACCCACCCACTCGTCCACCCACCTACTCGTCCACCCACCCACTCGTCCACCCACCCACTCGTCCACTCACCCACTCGTCCATCCACCCACTCGTCCACCCACCCACTCGTCCACCCACCTACTCGTCCACCCACCCACTCGTCCACCCACCCACTCGTCCACTCACCCACTCGTCCACTCACCCACTCGTCCACCCACCCACCCGTCCACCCACCCACTCGTCCACCCACCCACTCGTCCACCCACCCACTCGTCCACCCACCCACTCGTCCACCCACCCACTCGTCCACCCACCCACTCGTCCACCCACGCACTCGTCCACCCACGCACTCGTCCACTCACCCACTCGTCCACCCATCCACTCGTCCACCCACCCACTCGTCCACCCACCCACTCGTCCACCCACCCACTCATCCACCCACCCACTCGTCCACCCACCCACTCGTCCACCCACTCGTCCACCCACCCACTCGTCCACCCACCCACTCGTCCACCCACCCACTCGTCCACCCATCCACTCGTCCACCCACGCACTCGTCCACTCACCCACTCGTCCACCCACCCACTCGTCCACCCACCCACTCATCCACCCACCCACTCGTCCACCCACCCACTCGTCCACCCACCCACTCGTCCACCCACTCGTCCACCCACCCACTCGTCCACCCACCCACTCGTCCATCCACCCACTCGTCCACCCACCCACTCGTCCACCCACCCACTCGTCCACCCACTCACTCGTCCACCCACCGACCCCTCCACCCACCCACCCGTCCACCCACCCACTCGTCCACCCATCCACTCGTCCACCCACCCACTCGTCCACCCACCCACTCGTACACCCACCCACTCGTCCACCAACCCACTCGTCCACCCACCCACTCGTCCACTCACCCACTCGTCCACTCACCCACTCGTCCACCCACCCACCCGTCCACCCACCCACCCGTCCACCCACCCACTCGTCCACCCACCCACTCGTCCACCCACCCACTCGTCCACCCACCCACTCGTCCACCCACCCACTCGTCCACCCACCCACTCGTCCACCCATCCACTCGTCCACCCACGCACTCGTCCACCCACGCACTCGTCCACTCACCCACTCGTCCACCCACCCACTCGTCCACCCACCTACTCGTCCACCCACCCACTCGTCCACCCACCCACTCGTCCACCCACCCACTCGTCCACTCACCCACTCGTCCACCCACCCACCCGTCCACCCACCCACCCGTCCACCCACCCACTCGTCCACCCACCCACTCGTCCACCCACCCACTCGTCCACCCACCCACTCGTCCACCCACCCACTCGTCCACCCATCCACTCGTCCACCCACGCACTCGTCCACCCACGCACTCGTCCACTCACCCACTCGTCCACCCATCCACTCGTCCACCCACCCACTCGTCCACCCACCCACTCGTCCACCCACCCACTCATCCACCCACCCACTCGTCCACCCACCCACTCGTCCACCCACTCGTCCACCCACCCACTCGTCCACCCACCCACTCGTCCACCCACCCACTCGTCCACCCATCCACTCGTCCACCCACGCACTCGTCCACTCACCCACTCGTCCACCCACCCACTCGTCCACCCACCCACTCATCCACCCACCCACTCGTCCACCCACCCACTCGTCCACCCACCCACTCGTCCACCCACTCGTCCACCCACCCACTTGTCCACCCACCCACTCGTCCATCCACCCACTCGTCCACCCACCCACTCGTCCACCCACCCACTCGTCCACCCACTCACTCGTCCACCCACCGACCCCTCCACCCACCCACCCGTCCACCCACCCACTCGTCCACCCATCCACTCGTCCACCCACCCACTCGTCCACCCACCCACTCGTACACCCACCCACTCGTCCACCAACCCACTCGTCCACCCACCCACTCGTCCACCCACCCACTCGTCCACCAACCCACTCGTCCACCCACCTACTCGTCCACCCACCCACTTGTCCACCCACCCACTCGTCCACGCACCCACTCGTCCACCCACCCACTCGTCCACCCACCCACCCGTCCACCCACCCACCAAGTCACCCACCCAGTCACCCACCCCCCACCCTGTACTCCCACCCCCCACCGCTGTAGAAGTGTGGGCTGGGTCCTCCGGAGCAGTTCCTGTCGGAGGCCCTGGACCCTCCGCCGGTGCCGTCGGTGCAGCGCGCCATGACGGTGCTGCGCCGCCTCGGCGCCTGCTCCGCCGCCGCGGCGGCCGCGGCGGGGGGGGGGCCCGGACGCGGCCGCCGCGGGGGGCCCCCCCCCAGGACTGGGTCCTGACGCCGCTGGGACACCACCTGGCGGCCCTGCCCGTGTCCCCGCGCGTCGCCAAGATGCTCATCTTCGCCGCCTACCTCGGATGCCTCCCCGCGGCGGTGAGGGAGCCGGCGCGCTCGCCGTGCTCACGCTCACGCTCACTCGCTCACTCACTCGCTCACTCCCTCGCTCACTCGCTCGCTCACTCACTCGCTCACTCACTCGCTCACTCGCTCACTCACTCGCTCACACACTCACTCGCTCACTCACTCGCTCACTCACTCGCTCACTCACTCGCTCACCCACTCGCTCACTCACTCGCTCACCCACTCGCTCACTCACTCGCTCACTCACTCGCTCACTCACTCACTCACTCGCTCACCCGCTCACTCACTCGCTCACTCACTCGCTCACTCACTCACTCACTCGCTCACTCATCCACTCACTCACCCACTCGCTCACCCACTCGCTCACCAACTTGCACTCACCCGCACTCACGCTCACCCACTCGCTCACCCACTCGCTCACCCACTCGTCCACTCGCTCACTCACTCGCTCACCCGCACTCACGCTCACCCACTCACTCGCTCACCCACTCGCTCACCAACTTGCACTCACCCGCACTCACGCTCACCCACTCGCTCACCCACCCATTCGTCCACCCACCCACTCGTCCACCCACCCACTCGTCCACCCACTCGCTCACCCACTCGCTCACCCACTCGCTCACCCACTCGCTCACCCACTCGCTCACCCACTCGCTCGCCCGCACTCACGCTCACCCACTCACTCGCTCACCCGCACTCACGCTCACTCACTCGCTCACCTGCACTCACGCTCACTCACCCACTCGCTCACCCGCACTCACGCTCACTCACTCACTCACTCACCCGCACTCACGCTCACCCACTCGCTCACCCACTCGCTCACCCGCACTCACACCCACCCACTCGCTCACCCGCACGCAGAGCTCGCCCACCGACCCGCACGCTCGCCCACTGTGACGGCGGGGTATTGTGGTCGTGTTTATGGTGGTGGTTGTTCTTGGTGGTGATTCTCGTCGTCGTTGTTGTTGTGGTTGTTGTTGTTGTGGTTGTTGTCATTGTGGTTATTGTTGTTGTGGTCGTCTTCCGCCAGGCTGTCATCGCCGCCACGGTGGGGGAGAAGTCCCCGTGGGTGTCGCCAATCGGGAAGCGGTCCGAGGCCGACCTCGCCAAGCTCAGCCTCTCATTGGCCAGCTCCGACCACCTGACGTTTTATCGAGCCTATCAGAGGTGAGCGCCTTCATTCAAAAGCCGTAACCATTTGCTTGCCGGGCTGCTGTTAACGTCGCGTTCACTTGCTCACCCCTTTCCTGTCCACCGCTGAATCTCGGAATGCACACGGTGACTAGGAGATGTTGACTACCTCACTTGGTACGCAGGAGGTCGTGGGTTCGATCCCGACCCTGACAATGCCTGCTGCTGTATATTTGGAGTTTGCGTGTCTCTCTCTCTCTCTCATCATCATCATGGTGGCTAGGAGATGTTAACTACCTCGCCTGGTGTACAGGAGGTCGTGGCGTCGATCCTGACCCTGACTATGCCTGCTGCTGCTGTATATTTGGATTTTGCGTCTCTCTCTCTCTCTGTCCGTGGCCGCGTGGATTATTTGGCTGCTGCTGTACATTTGGCGATGATATCAGCCACTTGGTTGAACCTGTCATTCGTGATGGCCGGGTTCGCTCCTGTTGCCCGGTTGTCACATGATCAGTCGTTGCCGGTGTCCGTCGCCTGTTGCCCGGTTGTCTCACGAGTCTGGTTTGTCGCACGATCGGTCGTTGTAGGTGGCAGGCTGCCCGGAGGGAGGGAGTGGCGGCCGAGACGGCGTTCTGTCAGCGCAACTTCTTGAGCCACAATGCCATGACCAACATCTCGGTGAGCCTTGCGGTGGGGGGGGGGGGGGGCGGGTGTGCTGCGGCGGTGCCGCGTTGGCCAGGAGATGTTAACTCCCTCGCCCGGTATGCAGGAGGAGGTCGTGGGTTTTGATCCCGACCCTCACGATGCCTGCTGCTGCATATTTAAAGTTTCTGTGTGTCTCTCTCTCATCATCATCACGGTGGCTAGGAGATGTTAACTCCCTCGCCCGGTATGCAGGAGGAGGTCGTGGGTTTTGATCCCGACCCTCACGACGCCTGCTGCTGCTGCTGTATATTTAAAGTTTGCGTGTCTCTCTCTCTCTCCCCGTGGTCGTGTGGATTTTATCTCCGGGTCCTCTGTAAACACACAAAAAATCAGTTCTGAAGAAATTGAGTTTGTCAATGGCGATGATTTGTAAAAGTGCACCACGGTTTCCCATCGGCTTCCTGACATCGGAAGGGAGAGAACGTTCCAGACGGCCGCAGAAGCGCCGGCGCATCCGAAAGCGCCGACGCGGTGACCGCCACCGTCTTCGTTCGGCGGCCGAGCCCAAGAGGCCTCTGCTACGAAGATGATGGCGAGCGGAGTTCGCGCGACGATGGTTCACAGCACGACCCCCCCGCTCTCCCCTACAGGACGTGCAGAGAGAGCTCGTCCGCCAGGTCGAGGCCTTGGGCTTCAGGGGCGACCGCTCGGCCATGAAACCCGACCTCGGCCCCGGTGACATCGCCCTGCTAAAGGTCAGGAGGGTCACGGGGGGCACCGTCCGCTACCACCCCCCCCCCCCCCCCCCCCCGCGGGAGTCGGTGGGCAACGGGTACGTCACGGTGGCCGGGAGATGTTAACTACCACGCCTGGTGTACAGGAGGTCGTGGGTTCGATCCCGACCCTCACAATGCCTGCTGCTGTATATTTGGAGTTTGCGTGTCTCTCTCTCTCATCATCATCACGGTGGCTAGGAGATGTTAACTACCTCGCCCGGTGTACAGGAGGTCGTGGGTTCAATCTCGACCCTGATGACGCCTGCTGTTGCTGCTGTATATTTGGAGTCTGCGTGTCTCTCTCTCTCTCATCATCATCACGGTGGCTAGGAGATGTTAACTCGCTCGCCTGGTGTACAGGACGTCGTGTCACAGTAATAATTATTAATATTATTTATTAAAATACATTTATTTATTTTTACCCCCTCCCCCCCCGTCCCCCCCGTCCGAGCAGGCGGTGCTCACGGCCGGCCTCTACGACAACGTGGGCCGCATTCGCGTGGTGCCCGTGGTGCCCGTGGACCCCATGGAGGCGTCCGCCGAGAAGCCCCCGTGCCTGATCGACACGCCGCAGGGCCCGGCGCACGTGCACCCGTCGTCGGTCGCCCGCGGGCTCCGGGGACCCGGCTGGCTGCTCTACCAGGAGAAGGCAACGAGCACACGGCCAGGCGCGGGCCGACGAAGACCGTCACGTGACTCGCGTGTCACATGACGGCGACACGCGTGTCACCGTCATGTGACTGGCGTGTCACCGTCACGTGACACGCGTGTCACCGTCACGTGCACGTAGCAATGAGTTGGACCAAGATTGAACGTAGCAATGAGTTGGACCAAGATTGCACGTAGCAATGAGTTGGATCAAGATTGAACGTAGCAATGAGTTGGACCAAGATTGCACGAGGCAATGAGTTGGACCAAGATTGCACGTAGCAATGAGTTGGACCAAGATTGCACGTGGCAATGAATTGGACCAAGATTGCACGTAGCAATGAGTTGGACCAAGATTGCACGTGGCAATGAGTTGGACCAAGATTGCATGTAGCAATGAGTTGGACCAAGATTGCACGTAGCAATGAGTTGGACCAAGATTGCACGTAGCAATGAGTTGGACCAAGATTGCACGTAGCAATGAGTTGGACCAAGATTGCACGTAGCAATGAGTTGGACCAAGATTGCACGTAGCAATGAGTTGGACCAAGATTGCACGTGGCAATGAGTTGGACCAAGATTGCACGTAGCAATGAGTTGGACCAAGATTGCACGTAGCAATGAGTTGGACCAAGATTGCACGCAGCAATGAGTTGGACCAAGATTGCACGTGGCAATGAGTTGGACCAAGATTGCACGTGGCAATGAGTTGGACCAAGATTGCACGTAGCAATGAGTTGGACCAAGATTGCACGTAGCAATGAGTTGGACCAAGATTGCATGTAGCAATGAGTTGGACCAAGATTGCACGTAGCAATGAGTTGGACCAAGATTGCACGTAGCAATGAGTTGGACCAAGATTGCACATAGCAATGAGTTGGACCAAGATTGCACGTAGCAATGAGTTGGACCAAGATTGCACGTAGCAATGAGTTGGACCAAGATTGCACGTAGCAATGAGTTGGACCAAGATTGCACGTAGCAATGAGTTGGATCAAGATTGCATGTAGCAATGAGTTGGACCAAGATTGCACGTAGCAATGAGTTGAACCAAGATTGCATGTAGCAATGAGTTGGACCAAGATTGCACGTAGCAATGAGTTGGACCAAGATTGCACGCAGCAATGAGTTGGACCAAGATTGCACGTGGCAATGAGTTGGACCAAGATTGCACGTAGCAATGAGTTGGACCAAGATTGCACGTAGCAATGAGTTGGACCAAGATTGTACGTAGCAATGAGTTGGACCAAGATTGCACGTAGCATTGAGTTGAATCAAGATTGCACGTAGCAATGCGTTGGACCAAGATTGCACGTGGCAATGAGTTGGACCAAGATTGCACGTAGCAATGAGTTGGACCAAGATTGCACGTAGCAATGAGTTGGACCAAGATTGCATGTAGCAATGAGTTGGACCAAGATTGCACGTAGCAATGAGTTGGACCAAGATTGCACGCAGCAATGAGTTGGACCAAGATTGCACGTAGCAATGAGTTGGACCAAGATTGCACGTAGCAATGAGTTGGACCAAGATTGCACGTAGCATTGAGTTGGATCAAGATTGCACGTAGCAATGCGTTGGATCAAGATTGCACGTAGCATTGAGTTGGATCAAGATTGCACGTAGCAATGCGTTGGATCAAGATTGCACGTAGCAATGAGTTGGACCAAGATTGCACGTAGCAATGAGTTGGACCAAGATTGCACGTAGCAATGAGTTGGACCAAGATTGCATGTAGCAATGAGTTGGACCAAGATTGCACGTAGCAATGCGTTGGATCAAGATTGCACGTAGCAATGAGTTGGACCAAGATTGCACGTAGCAATGAGTTGGACCAAGATTGCACGTAGCAATGAGTTGGACCAAGATTGCATGTAGCAATGAGTTGGACCAAGATTGCACGTAGCAATGAGTTGGACCAAGATTGCACGTAGCAATGAGTTGGACCAAGATTGCACGTAGCAATGAGTTGGACCAAGATTGCACGTAGCAATGAGTTGGACCAAGATTGCACGTAGCAATGAGTTGGACCAATATTGCACGTAGCAATGCGTTGGACCAAGATTGCACGTGGCAATGAGTTGGATCAAGATTGCACATAGCAATGAGTTGGATCAAGATTGCACGTAGCAATGAGTTGGACCAAGATTGCACGTAGCAATGAGTTGGACCAAGATTGCACGTGGCAATGAGTTGGACCAAGATTGCACGTAGCAATGAGTTGGATCAAGATTGCACGTAGCAATACGTTGGACCAAGATTGCACGTAGCAATGAGTTGGATCAAGATTCCACGTAGCAATGAGTTGGATCAAGATTGCACGTAGCAATGAGTTGGATCAAGATTGCACGTGGCAATGAGTTGGACCAATTTGGGTTCCCCTCCCGGTTTAACAGAGACACTTAAACTTGACGCTTGACGCTTGAACGTAAGGGGGATCCTCGACACCAAAAGCGTGAAATGTAATTGTGGGTAAGGGAAGGGGAATGCGATGTCTCAACTAAACACGAACCGTTGGCTGTGTGGGAGTACGTCTCACACTGCGCGCACTTGCGTGTGTGCGTGCGTGTGCGTGCGTTGCTGTGTGGTGTGTACGGTGCGTGTGTGGTGTGTGGTGTGTACGGTGCATGTGTGTGGTGTGTGGTGTGTGTGTGGTGTGCGCGTGTGGTGTGTACGGTGCGTGTGGTGTGTACGGTGCGTGTGTGGTGTGTACGGTGTGTGTGGTGTGTACGGTGTGTGTGTGGTGTGTACGGTGTGTGTGGTGTGTACGGCGTGGTGTGTACGGTGTGTGTGGTGTGTGCGTGTGGTGTGTACGGTGTGTGTGGTGCGCGTGTGTGGTGTGCGTGTGGTACCTGCGTGTCGGTGTCTGCCAGGTGAAGTACGCCCGCGTGAGCGTGCGTGACTGCACCCCCGTGGGGGCCGTGCCCCTCGTGCTGTTTGGCGGAGAGATCGGCGTGCGGCACCGCGAGCGGCTCGTCAGCGTCGACGGCTGGATCCACTTCCAGGTCAGCCGGCGCGGTGGGGGGTCGCCTGAGTCTCCAGGTGGCGCGTGTGTGTGTGTGTGTGCGTCTGTGTGTGTGCGTCTGTGTGTGTGTGTGCGTCTGTGTGTGTGTGTGCGTCTGTGTGTGTGTGTGCGTCTGTGTGTGTGCGTCTGTGTGTGTGTGTGCGTCTGTGTGTGTGCGTCTGTGTGTGTGTGTGTGCGTCTGTGTGTGTGCGTCTGTGTGTGTGTGTGCGTCTGTGTGTGTGCGTCTGTGTGTGTGTGTGTGCGTCTGTGTGTGTGCGTCTGTGTGTGTGTGCGTCTGTGTGTGTGTGTGCGCGCCGGTGTGTGTGCGCGCCGGTGTGTGTGCGCGCCTGTGCGTGTGTGTGCGTGTCTGTGCATGTGTGCGCGCGTGTGTGCGTGTGTGCGTGCGTGTGTGCGTGTGTGTGTGCGTGTGTGTGTGTGTGCGTGCATGTGGGGAGTGGTAGTGTAGCGGTTAGCGCGCTTCGCTACGAACCTGGTGACCCGGGTTCAATTCCCGCTCACGGCCAACACCCCAGTGACGATTATCTGAACCGGTCCTGGGCCTCCCCTAGGTCGACTCAGCCTCAAATGATTACCTGGTGCGGTGTGTAGTAAACATCGCCACTGGGGGAGACAAAGGCGGCCGGGCGTGGTGCTGGCCACCCACCTCGTGTATCATGCCGGCCTTTATAGGTGCTCGCTAACAGCACTTGCACCAACAGTCTGTTGAGGCTATACAGGGGATCTTTGTCTTTGTGAGAATGGGAATGGCACCTGGGTCTGACCGGTGACGTCCTGCCAGCGGGCGTTCGGCACTTCACGTGGCCTTAACGTGCACATGGCCTGGCACAAGCGCCGTGGTGACGTCACCGCCACTTAGTGGAGAATGGTTGTGTGTTCAGTGGGGAGCGGTGGTGCGGCGGTTAGCGCTACGCTGCACTGCGAATCCGGCGACCCGAGTTCGATTCCGCTCGCGGCCAACACCGGCGACGATTATCTGAACCGGTCCTGGTGCGTGCGTGTGTCGTGCGCCGGCCTCGCTGTAGGTGCTACTCGCCCACAGCACTCGCTTTGTCTTTTTGTTGTTGTTGTTGCTGCTGCTGTTGTTGTTGCGAGCAGGCGCCAGCACGCGTGGGAGTGATCTTCAAGGAGCTGCGCGCCGCCATTGACTCCGTTCTTGAGCGCAAGATGGCGAATCCCAAACTCCCGCAGCAAGGTACGGGATACGCACATGGGCCAAGGTCCCCAGCGTGTAGCCTTTAACAGAGCTCCCAACTTGCGCACGAGCTGGGCTCCAGAGGTGTCTGTTCGTAAGTCCCAACTTTTACTCCCTGTCAAACGCCGTTGTAGGGCGTGTACACTGAACACGGGGGGATGGCTTTACAAGTTGTATAATCTCCTGTAGATGCCACTGGTTCTTCACGTTCTGCAGATGTAGATGCCACTGGTTCTTCATGCTCTGTAGATGGAGATGCCACTGGTTCTTTACGTTCTGCAGATGTAGATGCCACTGGTTCTTCACGTCCTGTAGATGGAGATGCCACTGGTTCTTCACGTTCTACAGATGTAGATGCCACTGGTTCTTCACATTATTCAGATGTAGATGTCACTGGTTCTTTACGTTCTGCAGATGTAGATGCAACTGGTTCTTCACGTTCTGCAGATGTAGATGCCACTGGTTCTTCATGTTCTTCAGATGCAGATGCCACTGGTTCTTAACATTATTCAGATGTAGATGCCACTGGTTCTTCACGTTCTGCAGATGTAGATGCCACTGGTTCTTCACGTTCTGCAGATGTAGATGCCACTGGTTCTTCACGTTCTGCAGATGTAGATGCCACTGGATCTTCATGTTCTTCAGTTGCAGATGCCACTGGTTTTTCACGTTCTGCAGATGTAGATGCCACTGGTTCTTCATGTTCTGTAGATGTAGATGCCACTGATTCTTCACGTTCTGCAGATGTAGATGCAACTGGTTCTTCACGTTCTGCAGATGTAGATGCCACTGGTTCTTCATGTTCTTCAGATGCAGATGCCACTGGTTCTTCACATTATTCAGATGTAGATGCCACTGATTCTTCACGTTCTGCAGATGTAGATGGCACTGGTTCTTCACATTCTGTAGATGTAGATGCCACTGGTTCTTCACGTTCTGTAGATGTAGATGCCACTGGTTCTTCACATTCTGTAGATGTAGATGCCACTGGTTCTTCACGTTCTACAGATGTAGATGCCACTGGTTCTTCACGTTCTGCAGATGTAGATGGCACTGGTTCTTCACGTTCTGTAGATGTAGATGCCACTGGTTCTTCACATTCTGTAGATGTAGATGCCACTGGTTCTTCACATTATTCAGATGTAGATGCCACTGGTTCTTCACGTTCTGTAGATGTAGATGCCACTGGTTCTTCACATTCTGTAGATGTAGATGCCACTGGTTCTTCACGTTCTGCAGATGTAGATGGCACTGGTTCTTCACATTCTGTAGATGTAGATGCCACTGGCTCTTCACGTTCTGTAGATGTAGATGCCACTGGTTCTTCACATTCTGTAGATGTAGATGCCACTGGTTCTTCACGTTCTACAGATGTAGATGCCACTGGTTTTTCACATTCTGCAGATGTAGATGGCACTGGTTCTTCATGTTCTGTAGATGTAGATGCCACTGATTCTTCACGTTCTGCAGATGTAGATGCAACTGGTTCTTCACGTTCTGCAGATGTAGATGCCACTGGTTCTTCATGTTCTTCAGATGCAGATGCCACTCGTTCTTAACATTATTCAGATGTAGATGCCACTGGTTCTTCACGTTCTGCAGATGTAGATGCCACTGGTTCTTCACGTTCTGCAGATGTAGATGCCACTGGTTCTTCACGTTCTGCAGATGTAGATGCCACTGGATCTTCATGTTCTTCAGTTGCAGATGCCACTGGTTCTTCACATTATTCAGATGTAGATGCCACTGGTTCTTCACGTTCTGTAGATGTAGATGCCACTGGTTCTTCACGTTCTACAGATGTAGATGCCACTGGTTCTTCACGTTCTGCAGATGTAGATGCCACTGGTTCTTCACGTTCTGTAGATGTAGATGCCACTGGTTCTTCACGTTCTGTAGATGTAGATGCCACTGGTTCTTCACATTCAGATGTAGATGCCACTGGTTCTTCATGTTCTTCAGATGTAGATGCCACTGGTTCTTCACGTTCTGTAGATGTAGATGCCACTGGTTCTTCACATTCTGTAGATGTAGATGCCACTGGTTCTTCACGTTATGCAGATGTAGATGGCACTGGTTCTTCACATTCTGTAGATGTAGATGCCACTGGTTCTTCACGTTATGTAGATGTAGATGCCACTGGTTCTTCACATTCTGTAGATGTAGATGCCACTGGTTCTTCACGTTCTACAGATGTAGATGCCACTGGTTCTTCACGTTCTGCAGATGTAGATGGCACTGGTTCTTCATGTTCTGTAGATGTAGATGCCACTGATTCTTCACATTCTGCAGATGTAGATGCAACTGGTTCTTCACGTTCTGCAGATGTAGATGCCACTGGTTCTTCATGTTCTTCAGATGCCGATGCCACTGGTTCTTCACATTATTCAGATGTAGATGCCACTGGTTCTTCACGTTCTGCAGTTGTAGATGCCACTGGTTCTTCACGTTCTGCAGATGTAGATGCCACTGTTTCTTCACGTTCTGCAGATGTAGATGCCACTTGATCTTCATGTTCTTCAGTTGCAGATGCCACTGGTTCTTCACATTATTCAGATGTAGATGCCACTGGTTCTTCACGTTCTGTAGATGTAGATGCCACTGGTTCTTCATGTTCTACAGATGTAGATGCCACTGGTTCTTCACGTTCTACAGACGTAGATGCCACTGGTTCTTCACGTTCTGCAGATGTAGGTGCCACTGATTCTTCACGTTCTGTAGATGTAGATGCCACTGGTTCTTCATGTTCTACAGATGTAGATGCCACTGGTTCTTCACGTTCTACAGACGTAGATGCCACTGGTTCTTCACGTTCTGCAGATGTAGATTCCACCACCGCCATCTGTTGCGCGAGGGTTGAGCTTACGACTCTCGGTCCAAACATGCAGCTGGACATTACGGACCAGCTTTGTTCGTATCTCTGAAAGTTTGTAAGTCGAATGTTCGTAATTAGAGGAGTCCCCGTATGTTGAAATTCTTTTTCACACCGTCACTAGCCAACCGCGCTAATCGGAGGTACGGGGAGAAGGACAACATACTATATACAAAAGCAGTTCTAAAGAAATTAGTTTTCAATCTAGATGATATAAAATACACAGCTCCAGTGGCTTCCTAATATCGGAAAGCAGAGCATTCCAGACGGCCGCAGAAGCGCATCTGATGCGGTAACCATCTTCGATCGATGGCTGAGTCAAAAGCCGCTGTTGCTGCTGCTGTGAGGATAATGACCGGAATCCGCGTGACGGTGATTTACGCGATCATCAAAGGTATCGTTGTGGTTCATTTGTTGTGGCCGAGCACTTTGAAAAAAGTTCTGTTCACGAACAGCACTCACGAAGGCTGGCACGGAGCACGGAAGGGTGGTGGGTGGCCAGCACCACGTCCCGTTACCCGGGTTCGATTCCCGCTCATGGTGACGATTATCCGCACGGGTCCTGGGCCTCCCCTAGGTCGACTTGGCCTCGAATGATTATCCGGTGCAGTGTGTAGTAAACATCGCCACTCGGGAGACAAATGCGGCCGGGCGTGGTGCTGGCCACCCCCACCCCCTTGTGCGCCACCATGTCGGCCTTACTAGGTGCTGCTTACTCACTCACACCCCCAACAGTTTGTTCAGGCTACACGGGGGATCTTTGTCTTTGGAGCAGTGGTGTAGCGGTGTAGCGCTACGCTGCGCTACGAACCCGGCGACCCGGGTTCGATTCCCGCTCGCTGCCAACACCGGTGACGATTATCTGAACCGGTTCCGGGCCTCCCCTTAGGTGGACTCAGCCTCAAAAGATTACCCGGTGCGGTGTGTAGTAAGCATCACCAGTGGGGAGACAAAGGCGGCCGGGCGTGGCGACGGCCACCACCCCCCCCCCCACCCCCTTCGTGCGCCGCCGTGCCGGCCTTCATGGGCACTGCTCGCTCACAGCACTTGCCCCAAACAGTCTGTTAAGGCTACACGGGGGATCTTTGTCTTTGTCTCGTGCGTGCGTGCAGACGAGCCCGCCATCAAGCTGTTGCTGGAGCTCATCCGGTCCGAGGCTGGCTCCGTGTGAAGTTCGCCAACGGGTCAACCGGATCATCCGGATCATCCGGATCATCCGGATCATCCGGATCATCCGGATCATCCGGATCATCCGGATCATCCGGATCATCCGGATATCATCGGCATCTGGATCATCCAGATGGTCAGGATCAATCATCGGCCTCCAGACCGTCTGGATCATCCAGATGGTCTGGGGGGGCTGGCTATCTGCATCGTGGATCGCGATGGCGACGACGACGATTAGTGAAGGAGAGTTGGGCCCGGCAATTGATTTGCTCGCGTCGCTGGCTGGCTGGCTGGCAGATGGGGGGGGGGGGGGGGACTCCCACTCGAGCGGTGGCTCTAAACCTCTTGAGGCTCCCGTGTCACCCACCCCACACCCCCACCCCCCAGTGACCTGACCCCGCACGTGACCTGACCCCCGCCCCCCAGTGACCTGACCCCCGCACGTGTCCTGACCCCCGCACGTGTCCTGACCCCCGCACGTGTCCTGACCCCCACATGTGACCTGACCCCCGCACGTGACCTGACGCCCGCACGTGACCTGACCCCCGCACGTGACCTGACCCCCGCACGTGGCATGACCCCCGCACGTGTCCTGACCCCCGCCCCCCCAGTGACCTGACCCCCGCACGTGTCCTGACCCCCGCCCCCCAGTGACCTGACCCCCGCACGTGGCATGACCCCCGCACGTGACCTGACCCCCGCACGTGACCTGACCCCCGCACGTGACCTGACCCCTGCACGTGACCTGACCCCCGCACGTGTCCTGACCCCCGCACGTGACCTAACCCCCGCACGTGACCTAACCCCCGCACGTGACCTGACCCCCGCACGTGACCTCCGGGGAGTTGAACGGTTCGAGCCGAACTAAGGATCAGCGTGGCGGGGTCACTCGCTGGGGCGCGATGGCCGATTCGGGGTTTGCCGCATAAGCAATGGCTCGTGACGTTTTTTTTTAAATAAACGAATGTCACGGGAACATATGAAAAGCATTCATGCGGAGAGGAGCGTGGATAAGCGATGAATAAGTCGAGCATAAACAGGTGCATTAGAGCACAAAATGAAGAAAAAAATCTTAGGCTTAGGCCAAGCTGATGGATGGCTTAAGGGGTTGACGGAGACGTTGCGGGTGGGAGAAATTTAATTCAATAGTTTTCCTCACTTTATTTGCCTTCATATTCATTGGGGGTGAGGGGGGGGGGGGCAGGGGCAGTGTTATCGATCGTAACTTTTAAGTAAAAAAAAAACGTTGAAAAGGTGGCAGACGGTTGCTCTCAAAACCGCTCACAGGAGCGGCCGGATCGCTTCATTGGCTGAGGCCTGCGGCCGAGTCCAACAACTTGCGCTCCGATTGGCCGGGTCCGCGTGATGTCGTAAAACACATCCGTCAGCCGGACATTTATCGTTGAACGGAAACAATGGGGATCGACCCTATAGGGAGAGGCGGCTCGTCAAATCGAAGTATCGATAAATGTCGATGGTGTCGTAAACAGAGGGGGGGGGGGGGAGGGGGCACCGCTGGGTTCGAACCCCAATTGTCCATTTTTGTGAGGGTATCCCGAAACCAGCGAGCGAGCAACTTGCAAGTGAATACGGGAAGCGATATCAACATTCAAACGGGCGCTCCGTGCGCGTTCGAGAGACGTAGAATCGTGATGAAGTTTTTTTCTTTTTTTGGGTCGGATCACGTAGATGTGAACGTGTGTCGTCAAATCCGCCGACGCAGGCAATGAGTGAGGAGGCCTGTCGCGTAAAACGGAAAGTGGCCAGCGGCCAATTCGTTACCGGAGCGGCACTAAACCGGCGGGGCGGCGTGTCAGAGGGGAACATCCACGAGACGGTGGAGCGTTCGCGCTGAGGCCGGTTGCCGAAGGAGCGCCGGGCCGACGCATCGTTTGTGTTCGACAGGTTACCGGAAGGGCTCTTTATTCATATTCTTTGGGTCTTTCGGTAAAGCCACGTAGATAGGAAAAAAAAATAATACAAATATCACGGCGTTTCCATCGCAACGCAAGCGATCGTCATCAGGTGAAAGAGATAGCGCTAGAAAAAAATAATACAAATATGACGTTTCCATCGCAACGCAAGCAGTCGTCATCAGGTGAAAAAGATAGCGCTAGAAAAAAATAATACAAAAATCACGGCGTTTCCATGGCAACGCAAGCGATCGTCATCAGGTGAAAAAGATAGCGCTAGAAAAAATAATACAAAAATCACGTTTCCATCGCAGCGCAAGCAATCGTCATCAGGTGAAAAAGATAGCGCTAGAAAAAAATAACACAAAAATCAGGACGTTTCCATCGCAACGCAAGCCATCGTCATCAGGTGAAAAAGATAACGCTAGAAAAAAATAATACAAACATCACAACGTTTCCATCGCAACGCAAGCGATCGTCATCAGGTGAAAAAGATAGCGCTAGAAAAAAATAATACAAACATCACAACGTTTCCATCGCAGCGCAAGCGATCGTCATCAGGTGAAAAAGATAGCGCTAGAAAAAAATAATACAAAAATCACGGCGTTTCCATCACAGCGCAAGCGATCGTCATCAGGTGAAAAAGATAGCGCTAGAAAAAAATAATACAAACATCACGACGTTTCCATGGCAACGCAAGCAATCGTCATCAGGTGAAAAAGATAGCGCTAGAAAATAATAATACAAAAATCACGTTTCCATCGCAACGCAAGCAATCGTCATCAGGTGAAAAAGATAGCGCTAGAAAAAAATAATACAAAAATCATCGCAACGCAAGCAGTCGTCATCAGGTGAAAAAAGATAGCGCTAGAAAAAATAATACAAACATCACGACGTTTCCATCGCAGCGCAAGCAATCGTCATCAGGTGAAAAAAATAGCGCTAGAAAAAAATAATACAAATATGACGTTTCCATCACAGCGCAAGCAATCGTCATCAGGTGAAAAAGATAGCGCTGTTTCTTCACCTGGTGACGATTGCTTGCGCTGCGATCGAAACGTCGTGATATTTTTATAAAAAAAATTTCTATCTACGTGGCTTCACCGAAAGACCCGAAGAATATGAATTCCTGCGGTCACGAAAGCTTTAAGTCAAGATTTAAAGGGGTCTCTTTTTGTTGTTGTTTACTTATTGCGATGTTTTTACCGTTAACAGAGTCACAATTCTGTCGTCGTTATTCCACATGGGCAGATTCACGCGGCGCGATCGGCCGACGCCAAATGACTCTCGCGTCCGGTGTAATTCTCGCGAATTTTTTTTAATCGCCGTCACGCTAAGACCCCCCCCCCCCACCACCACCACCCCCCTCGGGGAGGAGACATTGCCACCGTGTTCTACGCTGGAGGACGAATCCGCTGAGCCATCAGGTGTCCAGTGAGGGGGGCACGGGGTCAGAAGGTTAGCGCAACAACAAACGCAGTCCGCACGCGCACACAAACAAAAACAAAACACCAGAGGGAGTGCAAAGTGTAGGGAAAGTGAACACGATCACCCAACACACACACACATGGACAAATGTCCAGAATGATGATGGGCGACTTTTGTGTGGAGCTGTCATTTTGTGGTAGCCCAGGGTCGCTTTTGAAAAAAGAAGTTGATGCCTCAGTGGGGGCAATGTCTGGTCGCATTGGGGGGCGGAGGGGGGGGTGGAGACAATGGCAGAGCCAGGATTTAAGGATTTTCAGGTAAGGGGGGACAACCCCTCCAGCAATGAACAATGATAGAGGAGTTGTTAGTAAGTAAGGAGTTGTCCCTTGATTTCTATTCGACGCGTGTGCGGCGATGGCTCAGCCATCGATCGAGCGTCGGATTCGAACAGCGTTGTGTGATCGGCATCGCGCTCGCTGAAGGTGAATGCCTTTAGGGAAGTCGTGGACTGTATACGCAACTGCGCACAATTCTGTGAGTCACTTATAACTGCTTTGCCGTTACTTCTTGCCAATTATGGACTCGGACTATTGTCCTATCATCTCATAGAGTCCCTGGCACGTAATAATATGCTACACAGTGGCAGTGGGGGGTCGCAAAATGGCGATGTATTACTAATAAACCCCAATAATCCAATCAAAATGAGGGATTTCGATCGGATCATTGTGGGGGCACGTGCCACCCCCCCCCCCCCATGGGGATGTTTTTTTGGTTTGTTTACCTTTGACCTGTTGTCATATTGTTTGTTCGTTGTGACGCTGTGACGCTGTGACGTTGTGACGCTGTGACGCTGTGACGTTGTGACGCTGTGACGCTGTGACGTTGTGACGCTGTGACGTGACGTTGTGACGCTGTGACGTTGTGACGCTGTGACGTTGTGACGCTGTGACGTTGTGACGCTGTGACGCTGTGACGCTGTGACGCTGTGACGTGAGGTGACGTTGTGACGCTGTGACGTTGTGACGTTGTGACGTTGTGACGCTGTGACGCTATTACCCCGTGCCCCCCCCATGCTGGACATCTCTGACCCAAGTGCTGTATAGCTCCTCGGATTCCTCCTACCAGTATAAAGACAATATTCTCATTGCGATCTTGCATAGCCCCCCTCCCCCGCCCCCCACGGCTGCAACATCAGAATTATAACTTGATCAGCTGTGCCCCCACCTCCCCACCTATCACGCGTGGCTTACCAATTGTCTTAACCATGGCCCGCCACCCATCCACAGAGGGGCGAGAGGATTTCAGAATTCTTTCCGCCGTGGATTCAACGGGCGAATTTGTTATTATTTTTTTTTTTATATACAGCGTAGATACATTTGTAGGAATGTAAGAGATTGATAACGGCGGTCATCTTGCTCCTCGTGGTGTCGGTCCCAGCGACGCTGTGGGGCGGCGTTTTACTGAGCGAGCGAGGGAGCGACAAACCCCTCCCACCGGTTCAACGTCATGGGTCTCATCAGCAGCCAGTAGCCGGGCTTGTCTCACAGGGGCTGCAAACCCCTCCCACCGGTTCAACGTTATGGGACTCGTCGGCAGTTAGTCGGCAGGCTCGTCACACAGGCTGCTGGGTAAGAGATGAGGCTCCGGTGGCGAGGGGGAAGGTGCATCATGTGTGTGAGTTAGCGTTGTTTCGCATAGGTTTATGTTTTCACACCCCTCCCCTCCCCCCCCCCATTTTACAACATGAATGGAAACCGCATTCGTGAATTAAAAACGGTGATAGGATTACCCCCCCCCCCCCCCACGCGTGTCCCCGACCCTTGTGTTTGACACCCACGGCCGCTTGTAGGGCGCGCGCACTTCTGGATCATTCGGGACGATGTTGGGCCGCTGTAAAGAGGAGTTCCACGTGACGATGACGACGACGACAATGACGACGACGATGACGACGATGACGACGATGCTGACAATGACGATGATGACGACGACGACGATGACGACGACGATGCTGACGACCATGACGACGATGACGACGACGATGCCGACGACGACGATGACGACCATGACGACAACGATGCTGACGATGCTGACGACGACAATGACGATGACGACGATGACGACGATGACGACGGAGCCACCTTTGTTGAGCGGCTATCATTTGTGGCCAGGTCGCTTCTAAAAAAATAAGTTAAAGACCTCTTAAGTGGGCTTTACCTGGTAAGATACAACGAAGGAAGTTCAGTTTTCTTAGTATATTTTTATTTGTTGAAAGTGATTTGTTCACCTTTCTTGTACTTTGCACCGCTATCGTGCGTTTTTGTACTGCTTGTTGCTGTGACGTTCTTACCCCGTGACCATACCGGACATCTGTGGAAAAAAAAGAGCTTTATAGCTCATTGGATTCTTCCTGCAGTAATAATAAAATATTTTTCGATTCTAAACTACAAACACATTTTTTTTTACCAAGGCACACTGCCGCTATTTAACTCTGAAACAGAAGCGACCTGACCACAAATGACGCACGAACTTCTTTTACACTGTACATAGCCAAACCGTGCTACTCGGAGGTGCAGGGGAAGAACAACAAACTATGGGTCTCTGTGTGAGTCTGTGGGTCTCTGTGTGAGTCTATGGGTCTCTGTGTGAGTCTGGGTCTCTGTGTGAGTCTGTGGGTCTCTGTGTGAGTCTATGGGTCTCTTTGTGAGTCTATGGTTCTCTGTGAGTCTGTGGGTCTCTGTGTGAGTCTATGGATCTCTCAGTCTATGGGTCTCTGTCTGAGTCTATGGTTTTCTGTGAGTGTGGGTCTCTGTGTGAGTCTATGGTTCTCTGTGTGAGTCTATGGTTCTCTGTGTGAGTCAGTGGGTCTCTGTGTGAGTCTATGGTTCTCTGTGAGTCTGTGGGTCTCTGTGTGAATCTGTGGGTCTCTGTGTGAGTCTATGGGTCTCTGTCTGAGTCTGGTTCTCTGTGAGTCTGTGGGTCTCTGTGTGAGTCTATGGGTCTCTGAGTCTATGGGTCTCTGTCTGAGTCTATGGGTCTCTATGTGAGTCTGTGGGTCTCTCTGTAAGTCTATGGGTCTCTCTGTAAGTCTATGGGTCTCTGTGTGAGTCTGTGGGTCTCTGTGTGAGTCTGTGGGTCTCTGTGTGAGTTTATGGGTCTCTGTGTGAGTCTATGCGTCTCTGTATGAGTCTGTGGGTCTCTGTGTGAGTCTGTGGGTCTCTGTGTGAGTCTACGGGTCTCTGTGTGAGTCTATGGGTCTCTGTGTGTGTCTGTGGATCTGTGCGAGTCTGTGGGTCTCTGTGTGTGTCTGTGGATCTATGCGAGTCTGTGGGTCTGTGCGAGTCTGTGGGTCTCTGTGTGAGTCTATGGGTCTCTGTGTGTGTCTGTGGATCTGTGTGTGAGTCTGTGTATGTTGAACTTTCACACCGTAGGTCGCCAAACCGTGCTAATCGGAGGTGCGGAGGGGAAGGACAACAAACTAAACACAACACAGCAAGCCGCGGTTTAAAACAAAACGAAAAGCGAGTTGATTAATCCAGACAATGATTTAAAAGTGGCACAGCTCCCAGTGGCTTCCTAATTTCGGAAGGGAGGAACGTTCCAGACGGCCGCAGACTCAGCAGCATCTGAAAGCGCCGCACAATGGCGATGACGACGACGACGACGACGACGACGACGATGACGACGATGACGACGATGACGACGATGACGACGATGACGACGACGACGCGGTGACCACCGTTCTTTGTTTGACGGCTCAGCCAGAAGCCGCGTGCTTCCGCCGCTGCGAGGACAAGGAGGAGCGGAGTTCGCGTGGTGGTGATGGTGGTTGATAGTCCTTGAGATCAGCAGCGAGGTATTGTCGTGGTTCTCATTTGTATCGCCGTCGACCCATAGGGTTTGTCATCCACGTATATCGGTGCCCTACCTTATTACAGGCCAACTCAGACGGTATTGGTCAACCCGTGCCCCCTTATAAATATCAACGCTCATCCTACAGTCCCATCACGAGGGAGAAACACAAACTAATAGACAAAGAAACCCCATGTGTTTTCTGCTCGTATTGAAACGACTGTAAGGCTCTATGGATCTGAACACTCAATTTCCCTGTACAAGAATCCGGGGTAAACCGTACGGGTTGACATGGTATGATACTATACACTATACACTACGCTATACACTACACTTTACACTACGCTATACACCACACTATATACCACGCTATACACTACACTATACACTACGCTATACACTATGCTGTACACCACACTATATACTACGCTGTACACTACACTATGCACTACACTATACACTACGCTATACACTACGCTATACACCACGCTATACACCACGCTATACACTACACTATACACTACACTATACACTACGCTATACACCACACTACCACGCTGTACACTACACTATGCACTACACTATACACTACGCTATACACCACACTATATACCACGCTATACACCACGCTATACATACACTATACACTACACTATATACCACGCTATACACCACGCTATACACTACACTATGCACTACACACCTGTCCAACCCCTTATCATTGCCCTACCTTAGAACGGACCAACTCAAAGACCGCATTAGTCACCCCGTGCCCCCTTATACATCTCAACGTTCACCCTACAAAGTCCCATCACAAGGAGAGAAACACAAACAAACAAACAGACACAAAACATTTGTGTTGTTCCGTACTGTAACGCCGCCGTACGGGCCTGCGAGACTCAAATTTCCCTGCGCGAAAATCCGGGGTTAGCCGCACGACGCTGCGTCCCTCCCATCGATTACCGCGGCACACGAGCAACCCCACTCGAAGTTGCGTGCTCAGCGTCGTGACGTCATAATGAAAGCTGACGTCACAATAAAAGCCAACGTCATTTCCGTGACGTCGCCACGCCACCGAACGGGCGAGATCGGCGGCGGCGGTCCGGATTTGCGTCCGCGACGTCATCGCGCCCGCCTCGGCGAAGCATCCGTGACGTCATCGCGCCACCCAAAGCGTCCGTGACGTTTACGCGCCCACCTCGCATTAGCGTTCGTTACGTAATCGCGCCCAACCTCAGCGAAGCCTCCGTGGGCGTCATCACGCCAACTCAAGCGTTCGTGACATCTCGGCCACCTCTGCGTCCGTGACGTCATTGCGTCACCTCAACCGTCCGTGACATCGCGGGCCGCCTCAGGAAATGTCCGTGACGTCATCGCAGCGAACCTCAACCGGCCCCGTGACATCGCGGGCCGCCTCGGCGAAGCCTCCGTGACGTCACTGCGCGGGCCAACCCTGACATCCGCGTGTCGCATCGGCGAAGTGTCTGTGACGTCATCGCAGTCCCTTTCAACCGTCCGTGACATCATCGCGTCCGCCTCTCCGCGAAGCCCTCCCGTGACGCTAAATGCAGCCAACACTCGGCGTCCGTGACGTCATCGCGCGGCCACCCACGACGTCATCGCCCAGACGAACCGCCCCTCGCCACCTCCAGAGTCACCGTCACTACTCCCGCTGAGGGAGAAGATCTCGAGCGAGAGAGAGAGAGGAAGAGAATGGCCTCGTACCGGCTGCGCTGTTCGATCCCGGCACACGACATGGACGTGCGCGGCGTGGCGCCGCTGCCGAACTCGGCGAGCGGCGGCTTCGCCTCGGTGTCGCGCGACCGCACCGCCTGCCTCTGGGTCCCCGCCGCGGGCCCCGGGTGAGTGTGCCGCGGCGGCGCGGCTCAGGCGAGGCGCTAGGGCCCGCGGGGATAACGCACCTTAGGCCTCGTCGTCGTCGTTGCTTGCGTGATTTATCCACTGCTCGATGGATACGGAAGGCAACTCACGCTCCCCCTCGCCTTCCCCCCTTAATTATCCTTAACGAAGCTTCACCGGCGTCCCCTTGTGTAACTTTCAATGCGGGCTTCAGTGCCGGTGAAGTTTGTAACGCAACCGCCATTTACTTTTTGAGGGTCTTCTCCGCTGCTGGATGAAGGGCCAGTGAGGTACACAGTCGTCGTCAACAACATCACCACTTTAACACGTAGCCCTCGTAGTAGTAGACTTTCGCGCTCAAATATTAACCATTGTTGAGGGTGAGGAGGTTAGATGGCGTGCGTATAAAAATGTGTGTGTCGTTAAACCGGTCACCACACGACACGGTCAGTGAAGTAATGTGGGGAGGGTGGTTGGCTGGGTTTGTGTCGCGTTAACAGAACCGTGGGTGCCAATTCGTTACGAGCACAGCACCAGCACCACCACCAGTACCACGCCGGGTTTTGTTGCGTGTTGGAGGGTTAAAGCCGCCGCCGCAGCAGCATTGACGATTCGAGTACTTTGTCCGTCGATTTAAGACCAGGATGATGATGAGGATGATGATGATGATGATGATTAGGAGGATTTCTCCACACGCTGCTGCTGATGGTTGTAACGATCCTCCTCATTCCGAGCTGAACGCTTACCAACACCAACCCCACCTAGCCCGACCCACCGGCGTGGCACGGCAGGCAGAAAACCCCTACCGACCTCGCCACCTGATGATAAATAACGCTGTGTACGTTAACGTGAACTTGCCAGCGAAACGTCGTCGTACAACTCAAATGTTGTGGATTTACTCTCCAACACACCCGTGGGCGTAAGTGGTAACTCTTTGGCGTTGTGTTTAGGGACCGTCCATAAATGACGTCACGCGATTTTTGACCCCCCCCCATCTCTCGTCACACGGCGTCACGAAAAGTCAGACCCCCCCCCCTCAAATATGACGTCACAAAGCTCTGCCCCCCCCTAAAACCATATTTCCATTTTGAAAATAAAACATGCTTCAAATCGCTTTAAACGATTGTCATTGCAGTGCGTATTTAATGTGGCGCCGCACTCTGCTGTTGTTGTAGGAGTGTTGTTATAACAATTAGTGTTGTTACAACAATTCTGTATCTATTTCAAGTTGCGAATTTTGATGTGACGTCACATTTCTCACCCCCCTCCCCCTCGTCACAAATGTCTGCCCCCCCCCCGCCCCTAGGGGGGGGGTCTGACTTTTTGTGACGCCGTGTGGGGGGTCAAAAATCGTCCAAAATCGCGTGACGTCATTTACGGACGGCTCCTAAGCCAGACTCGCCGATACGGAATATTAACAACTTGGGACCTATCTGATCGTTGATCTCGACGGGGAGGGGGCGGATAGAGAGAGCACGAGGTGCTCTCTCTCTTCCTCGGGACTTTCCGAACAGCGACCAGACGTGTGTGTGTGAGAGCTTTCATTGGCAACTGCTAACCAAATCGAAAGTATGCAACGCAGAAGTTTAAAAGTGTGTTGGATTTCTTTTTAAGTGTTGGCTTTTTGTGTTCTGTACGTAACCAGTAATGTTCGGTAAAGCTTTAACAACTTTTTAAAATTTTACTAGGCATGGCCCACAGAGCTATTTATCCCTGTTTTTGAGAAGCGACCTGGCTATTAAACACGATATCTGAACGAAGTGGGCTTCTTATCATCATCGTCGTCGTCGTCGTCATCATCCTGTGGTAGGTTATGGCAGCAGCCAAGTACGCCTAAACGCGTGACGTTCATTCTAAATGTGGAGGGGAAAAAAACAAGAGGGCCCGGTAGAAAAATCCACGCGACCACCACGGGGTGAGAGAGAGAGAGACACACACAAACCCCAAACATACAGCAGCACAAGGCGTCGTCAGGGTCGGGATTGAACCCACAACCTCCTGTACACCAGGCGAGCGAGTTAACATCTCCTAGCCACCGTGATGATGATGAGAGAGAGAGAGACACACAAACCCCAAACATACAGCAGCAGCAAGGCGTCGTCAGGGTCGGGATTGAACCCACAACCTCCTGTACACCAGGCGAGTGAGTTAACATCTCCTAGCCACCGTGATGATGATGAGAGAGAAAGAGACACACAAACCCCAAACATACAGCAGGCGTCGTCAGGGTCGGGATTGAACCCACAACCTCCTGTATACCAGGCGAGCGAGTTTACATCTCCTAGCCACCGTGATGATGATGAGACAGAGAGAGACACGCAAACTCCAAACATACAGCAGCAGGCTTCATCAGGGTCGGGATCGAACCCATGACCTGTATACCAGGCGAGGGAGTTAACATCGCCTAGCCACCATGATGAGAGAGAGACACTGCAAACCCCAAATATACAGCAGCAGGCGTCGTCAGGGTCGGGACCGAACCAGCGACCTCCTGTACACCGGGCGAGGGAGTTAACATCGCCTAGCCACCATGGCGCCCGGCTAGGTTCCCGGAGCCACGTTGTAGAGCAGCAGAGGGCAGTGCGACAACATTCATTGCTGTTTCGTAATTCTGTGCTCCCAAAGGTAGGCGCCTCCCCGGCTTTGATCCCCAGTTTGGCCAAACAACCGCTGTAGGCCATCGTCCGGCAGCGGATTAAGAGAAAGGGGGACCCCGCTCTGTGCGTGCGCGGATAACGTGAGGGAGGCTGACCGCCCTGATTTGGCGGCGCAATTCGTTGGGACGAATCCCGCCGTGATCCTTTGGCGCGTTCGTCAAGCGTCAAAGAAGAGACGGAATAAACCGAGGGGGGGCGAATTTGACGGCCTCAAAGGTTTTTGCACCCTTAGCCTGGCGCAAACGCTGTAGGGTGACATCCACCGCCACTTAAGGATCATGATCGGAATCTGTATTATTTACACCAGAGGAATCCGATGAGCTGTAAAGCTCTTTATTTTCACAGATGTCCAGGAGGGGCGAGGGGTAAGAACGTCACGACAACAAACAGTACGAACACACGATAGGAGTGCAGAGTACAAGAAAGGTGAACAAATCACTCAAAACACGTCCGAATACAACGATAAACCATCCCCGTCCTACCAGGCAAAGCCCACTGAGGTGCTAATTGATATTTCAAAAGCGACCCTGCCCACAAGTGATGGCTCAAAACAAAGTGGCCCATCATTGGGACATTTATAGTGGCAGCCAAAATAATTTAAATAATCTTGGTGGCTGACGGCAGCTACTGACGCCATTGTGTGTGTGTGCGCGTGTTACCCCGCGTCTTTGCCTCGTCAATTATTCCGCCCGTCACGTGCGTGTGTCCGCGCGTGTCCGCGTGTGTCCGCGTGTGTCCCCGCGTGTCCCCGCGCGTGTCCGCGTGCGCAGGTCCGAGTTCCGCGAGGCGGCCCGCTGGAAGGCGCACGACGCCTTCGTGTCGTGCGTGTGCGCGCTGCCGCCCTCCGCCGCCTTCCCCGCGGGACTCGTGGCGACGGGAGGCCACGACGGGCACGTCTGCGTCTTCGCGGCCGACGCCGTCGGGCCCGCGGCGGTTCCGCTCTACCGGCTCGAGGGCCACGGCTCCACCGTGTGCTGCCTGGCGGTGGCCGGCGACGGCGGCGGCGACGGCGGCGACGGCGGCGGCGGTGGCGCCGCGCCGGCCGTGGCGGGCGCGCTCGTGAGCGGGTCGTGGGACGCGACGGCGCGGGTGTGGCTCCGGGACAAGTGCGTGACCACGCTGCAGGTCCGTCTGAGCATGTCGCCTTTTAGCCTGGCACAGGTGCCGTGGTTTGACGTCAAAGCCGCTTGGTGGCGAACGGCGGCTGTTGTTTGTTGCCGCTGTGCGCGTGCTGCCGTGTGCTTGTGTGTCTTTGTGTGCAGTGGCATGTTTTCCGCGTGTCTGTGTCGTGGTATGTTTGTGTGTGTAGTTACGTCTTTGCGCGTGTAGTGGCATGTTTGTGTGTGTGTAGTGGCATGTTTGTGTGTGTGTTTGGGTTGTGGGGAGGGGTAGTGTTGCGCTACGAACCTGGCGACCCAGGGTCGATTCCCGCTCGCAGCCAGCACCAGTGAAGATTATCTGAACCGGTCTTGGGCCTCCCCTCGGTAGACACAGCCTGAATTGAGTGGCTGGTGCGGCCGGGCGTGGTGCTGGCCACTCACCCCCTCGAGTGCCACAGTGCCAGCCTTCATAGGTGCTCGCTAACAGCCATAGCTCCTACAGTCTGTTTGGGTCTTGGTGTGTGTCTCTGTGTCTGTGTGATTTTGTGCTTCGTGCTGTGTCTTAGCATCGGTGTGCTTTGTGTGCATGTTTAAATGATGCCGTGCCTTGTGGAGTGGTTAGCGCGCTGCGCTACGAACCCGGAAAGCCGGGTTCAATTCCCGCTAAATGGTCACCAACCAGTGACGATTATCTGAACCGGTCCTGGTGTGGGTGTGTTAACACCGCTACTAGGGTGGCCAGCATGGCACTGGGCACCCACCCACCCACCCCCCTCGTGTGCCGCGTAGCTCCGCTAATAGCACTCGCCCCAACAGTCTGTTAACGCTATACGCGGGGCGTGGTCTTTGCACACCTACACGTGCGCGCGTGCGCGTGCAGGGGCACGGCGCGTCGGTCTGGGCGGTGAGCGTGCTGCACAAGCAGGGCGCCATTCTCACCGGCTCGGCCGACAAATCCATCAAGATGTGGAAGGCGGGGCGCTGTGAGGTCACCTACACGGGTAAGGCCAGAGGCTCGCGGCCGTCGATCCGTGACGCATCCATCCACTACATTCCATCTGTCGCAGTCCATCCATTGCAATCCATCAGTTACAATCCACCAGTGACAGTCCATATATTACAATCCATACGTTACAATCCAACCATTATAATCTATCTTTTACAATACATTTATTGCAATCCAACCATTATTATCCATACATCGCAAGCCAAACATCAAACTTGAAGCTATTCATCCATTACAAACCACCGATTACAATCCATCTACCCAACAACCAGGATAACAACAAAAACCCGGCCACGTGAGTTCAATACCTGGCCGCGGATAACACCATTCACGCGGGTAATGTCCGAACCGGTCCTGGGCCTCCCCTAGGTCGACTCGGCCGCGAATGAGTACCTGGTGCGGTGTGTAGTAAAACATCACCACCGGGGAGACAAAGGCGGCTCGGGGGCGTGGTGGTATTGGCCACCCCCCTCGTGTGTGCCACAGTGCCGGCCTTCACAGCCGCTGCTGCTAACCGCCAAGTGCAACTTGCCCCAACGGGTCTGTTAGGGGGCGGCTACGCGGTTGGGATCTCTTGTCATCGTCGTTTCACAGTAGATATTGTTGTTGGGTTAGATCGCGTAAATACAAACGTGTCCTTAAACCCGCCACCACCACCACCACCACCACCCACCCGTAAGGGAGTTTTGCGTCGCGTAACTAAAGCCGTGGCCAAGCCGTTGCTAGTAACAGCACTCCGGTTGCGTGTTGGAGAGTCAAAGCCACCGCAACATTTACGGTTCCGAGCGCGACGTTTTCGCCGGCAATCGCAGCCGGCGCTCCGCGCGATCTCGCCCGTCGGCGGCGGAAGGCCCCCTCCCGCCCACGCGCTTAGGCTGCCCCTGTGCCGTCGTCCGCGCGTCTCGTGAAACAAAAAGGCCACGAGGACTGCGTGAGGGGCCTCGTGGTGCTGGGCGGCGGCGAGGAGTTCCTGTCGTGCGGCAACGACAGCAGCGTGCGGCGCTGGGCGCTGGCGGGGCCGTGTCTCTCGACGCTCTACGCTCACACCAACTACGTCTACTCCATCTGCCTGCTGCCCAACGCCTCCGGTGGGGGTCGCACGCGGTGGGGGGACACGGAGGGAGATACGGGGGGGGGGGGTGGGACACGGCGGGAGATATGCACGGTGGGTGAGGGGGGTACACGTGGGGAGAGATACGCGGGGGGGGGGGGGGTGGTGTGACACGCATAGGGAGAGACACGGAGGATGCACGGGGGAAACGCGGCGAACCGCGCACGGGCAGACAAAGGCCGCGCGGGGAGATACTGGGGGTCGGGGGGTCAAATACACGCAGGGGGAGAGTGGGGGAGACGCGGGGAGAGACGCGGGGAGAGACGGTGTGCGTGTGCGTGCGAGCGCGTGCAGGGTTCGTGACGGGAGGAGAGGACCGCACGGTTCGCGTGTGGCGCGGCGAGGAGTGCGTCCAGACGGTGCGCCTGCCGGCGCAGTCCGTGTGGAGCGTTTGCGCTCTGCCCAATGGCGACATCGTGGCCGCCACCAGGCACGTCGACGCACACCCACAGACGCACATCGGTGGAGTTGAACCGGCGGTTGCAGTGAGCTCGCAAATGCTCACTTTATTTTCGTTACTTGACCCCCTTTTTCCCGTTCCGTGACTAAAACGACACCGGGCTCACGTTTTGTTGCAATAGGAAAAAAAAAAGTATTCACCAGGGCGGCCATAAGATTCTACCACGAAACTATTTTTTTTTTTATTTGACCAGGTAAGGCCCTTACTGAACTACGTAGCTCTTTTTTCAGAAGCGACCTGACCATCACAAATGATAGCCCAACGAAAGTGGCTTATTGTCATCACGTTTGAAATTTAGAGCAGCCAAATAATCTAGAAACGCGTGACGTTGAATCTAAATAACGGAGGGGAAAAACCGTGAGGACCCGGAGAAAAATTCCACGTTACCACGGAGAGAGCGAGAGAGAGACACCGCAAACTCCAAACATACAGGAGCAGCAGCAGGCGTCGTCAGGGTCGGGATCGAACCCACCACGCCCTCCTGCGTACCAGGCGAGGGCGTTAACATCTCCTCGTCACCGTGATGATGATGATGAGAAAGAGACACCACAAACTCCAAATATACAGCAACAGCAGGCGTCGTCAGGGTCGGGATCGAACCCACGACGACCTCCTGCGTACCATGCGAGAGGGAGTTAACATCTCCTAGTCACCGTGACGATGATGAGAACGAGACACCACAAACTCGTCAGGGTCGGGATCGAGCCCACGACGACCTCCTGCGTACCATGCGAGAGGGAGTTAACATCTCCTAGTCACCGTGACGATGATGAGAACGAGACACCACAAACTCGTCAGGGTCGGGATCGAGCCCACGACGACCTCCTGCGTACCAGGCGAGAGGGAGTTAACATCTCCTAGTCACCGTGACGATGATGAGAACGAGACACCACAAACTCGTCAGGGTCGGGATCGAGCCCACGACGACCTCCTGCGTACCAGGCGAGAGGGAGTTAACATCTCCTCGTCACCGTGACGATGATGAGAACGAGACACCACAAACTCGTCAGGGTCGGGATCGAACCCACGACCTCCTGCGTACCAGGCGAGAGGGAGTTAACATCTCCTAGTCACCGTGATGATGATGATGAGAAAGAGACACCACAAACTCCAAATATACAGCAACAGCAGGCGTCGTCAGGGTCGGGATCGAACCCACGACGACCTCCTGCGTACCAGGCGAGAGGGAGTTAACATCTCCTAGTCACCGTGACGATGATGAGAACGAGACACCACAAACTCGTCAGGGTCGGGATCGAGCCCACGACGACCTCCTGCGTACCAGGCGAGAGGGAGTTAACATCTCCTAGTCACCGTGACGATGATGAGAACGAGACACCACAAACTCGTCAGGGTCGGGATCGAGCCCACGACGACCTCCTGCGTACCAGGCGAGAGGGAGTTAACATCTCCTCGTCACCGTGACGATGATGAGAACGAGACACCACAAACTCGTCAGGGTCGGGATCGAGCCCACGACGACCTCCTGCGTACCAGGCGAGGGAGTTAACATCTCCTAGTCACCGTGATGATGATGAGAACGAGACACCACAAACTCCAAATATACAGCAACAGCAGGCGTCGTCAGGGTCGGGATCGAACCCACGACGACCTCCTGCGTACCAGGCGAGAGGGAGTTAACATCTCCTAGTCACCGTGACGATGATGAGAACGAGACACCACAAACTCGTCAGGGTCGGGATCGAGCCCACGACGACCTCCTGCGTACCAGGCGAGAGGGAGTTAACATCTCCTCGTCACCGTGACGATGATGAGAACGAGACACCAGAAACTCGTTAGGGTCGGGATCGAGCCCACGACGCCCTCCTGCGTACCATGCGAGAGGGAGTTAACATCTCCTCGTCACCGTGACGATGATGAGAACGAGACACCACAAACTCGTGAGGGTCGGGATCGAGCCCACGACGACCTCCTGCGTACCAGGCGAGAGGGAGTTAACATCTCCTAGTCACCGTGACGATGATGAGAACGAGACACCACAAACTCGTCAGGGTCGGGATCGAGCCCACGACGACCTCCTGCGTACCAGGCGCGAGGGAGTTAACAATCCTGAGCCACCGAGGCGCCCGATACGAAACGGCGGACGCTTGTGCGACGAGCCGTGAGCCGCGTCAGCCCCGTGCTGGGCCGCGTCACCGCCCAGGCCGATGCGGGCGGCGTTCCCATCAACATTTTACCTTTGCCCGTCTGTTCGCCGGTGCCAACAGCGACGGGCGCGTGCACGTGTTCACGGAGAGCGAGGACCGGGCGGCGCCGGCCAGCGAGCAGCGCGCCCTCGAGGAGGAGCTGGCGGGCAGCGCCATCGACCCCAAGACCGGCGACCTCGGCGACATCGGCAGCAGCGAGCTGCCCGGGCGCGAGCACCTCGACGAGCCCGGTAAGGAGGGTGGGGGCCCTTAGCCCCCCGTAGAACCACAACCCCCGTAGCCCCCCGGGGGCAGAGCCGGGAGGGTTTTCCCCTCCACATTTAGAATCAACGTCACGCGTCTAAGAGTATTTCGCCGCTGCTGTAAATTTCCACGCGCGGTGATGATCAGCCACGACGCTGAGCTATCATTCGTGATGTCCAGGTCGCTGTTATAGATAAGTGGGCTTTACCTGTAAAATACAAAGTTTAGCTTTGTCTGTGGGTCTCGATGTATCTCTGAGGGTATCGATGTGTCTCCATGGGCCTCTCTGGGTCTAAGTGGGTCTCGATGCATCTCTGTGCTTTTAGATCACTTGGCTGCTGCTATAAATTTCCACACGCGGTGATGACGATGATAAGCCGCCACTCTGTTGAGCCATCATTCGTGATGGCCAGGTCGCTTCTGAAGAAGAGTTGTATAGCTTAGTGGGCCTTACCTGGTCAAAATTAACATAGTTTAATTTAGTCTATGGGTCTGTATGTATCTCTATGGGTCTTTGCATCTCCAAGGGGTCCGCCTTTCTATGGGCCCTCTGTGTCTCTGCGGGTGTCTGTGCATCTTTATTCTGTTTGATTATTTGGCTGCTCTTAGAAATTTCCACACGATGATGACGACGACGACGATAACCCACTTCGCCGAGCGATCACTGGCGATGGCCAGGGTCTCTTCCGAAAAACAATTTAAAAAAAACCCGCCAAACACGGCTCACTGGTACAATAAAATAGTTGAGTTTTATTTTATCTGCACCGGTGTGTGTGCGCGTGCGCTGCGATGGAGGCACGAGAGACGGGCAGACTCGCCTGATCCGCGAGGAGGGCCGGGTGGAGGCCTACCAGTGGAGCGCAGCGCTCGGCGGCGACGGCGGCCGCTGGATCAAGATCGGCGACGTTGTGGGCTCCTCGGGGGCCACGCAGCAGACCTCGGGGAGAGTCATGTACGAGGGCAAGGTGATCTCCACCCCCTCCCCCCCCCGTGTGTAGCCTTTTAACGGACCGTTGGGGCGAGTGCTGTTGGCGAGTAGCAGCACCTGTGAAGGCCGGCGCTGTGGCACGCGAGAGGGGTGGGTGGCCAGCAACCAGGCCCATCCGGCCACCTTTGTCTCCCCCAGTGGCGGTGTTTACACATCGCGCCAGGTACTCATTTGAGGCCGAGTCGACCTAGGCGAGGCCCAGGACCGGTTCAGATAATCATCACTGGTGTTGGCCGTGAGCGGGAATCGAACCCGGGTCACCATGTTGGTAGCCCACGCTACTGCACCCCGCTCACTCACTCGCTCGCACACCCAATCAGCCCATCGTACCTCTAGCCCGTGGCCACCCGCGCACTCACCCGCACGCCCGCCCTGCTGTCGAACAACAGGAGTACGACTACGTCTTCTCCGTGGACCTCAACGAGGGCGGGCGGCCGCTGAAGCTGCCGTACAACGTGAGCGAGGACCCGTGGACAGCGGCCAACGCCTTCCTGGGTCGCCACGACCTGTCGTCCCTCTTCCTCGACCAGGTCGCCAACTTCATCGTGGAGAACACGCGCGGCGCCACGCTGGGCGGCGGCGCCAGCGCCGGCCAGGCGGATCCCTTCACCGGTGGGCGCCTGCCCTGACTTTAAAACAAATCCCGGTTATTCGGTGACGCTGCCGCGCCGAGATGATTTGTATTGTTTTGGCTGCTGTGGTGAATAAGTCGCTTTTGTTGCACGATCATTTGCGGCCAGGAGGATCTCTTTACCGGCTGGTGCTTGTCCTTTTTTTTTGGGGTTCTTTTTCGCTGCCGCTGCCGCTGCTGCTGCATGTTACTCTCACTGTCAGACTGACTTCCTCTAAACCCAATACGCGGTGCAACTAAAATTATATGGATGGGGGCCATGGTGGCTAGGAGATGTGAACTACCTCGCGTGGTATGCAGGAGGTTGTAGGTTCATTCCTGACCCGACCCTGACGCCTGCTGTATATTTGGAGTTTGCGGTGTCTCTCTCATCATCATCATGGTGGCTATGAGATGTTAACTACCTCGCCTGGTATGCAGGAGGTTGTCGGTTCGATCCCGACCCTGACGCCTGCTGCTGTATATTTGGAGTTTGTGGTCGCGTGGATTTTTCTCCAGGTCCTCGGGTTTTTCCCTTCACATTTAGAATCAACATCACGCGTTTAAAAGTATTTTGGCTGCTATAAATTTGCACGTGATGATAATGATGATAATCCACTTCGTTGAGCTATCATCTGTGGCCAGGTCGCCGTGCCGGCTATCATAGCCGCTACTTGCTGACAGCACTTGCTCAAGCGGGGTCTGTTAGAGGCTGTCCGGGGGATCTTTGTCTTTTGTGTCGCGTGTGCAGGAGGAGGGCGGTACATTCCGGGTGTTGGCTCCGCCCCCCACGGCACCCCCGGTTCCCAAGCCACCGCACCCAACCAACGAGACCCGTTCACAGGTAACACAACACATTCACGGGCGACGCTGTACGATCGCGGGTTCCGCGACACGTTCACGGGTGACACGTAACGTTCACGGGTAACGTGTCACGTTCACGGGTAACGGGACACGTTCACGGGTAACGTGTTACGTTCACGGGCAGCGTGTCACGTTCACGGGTAACGGGACACGTTCACGGGTAACGGGACACGTTCACGGGTAACGTGTCACGTTCCCCGGTAACGGGACACGTTCACGGGTAACGCGACACACGCGACCCGTTCACGGGTAACACGGTACAGTGAGCCCTCGGTTGACGTGCGTGCGGCGGTCAGCGCGCTGCGCTACGCTACAACCCCGGTCGCCCGAGTTTTCATTTCCCTGCCCGCCGCCGCGGGCACCGGCGATGGCGATTATCTGAACCGGTCCTGGGTCTGTCCCCTAGGTCGACTCGGCCCTCAAACGGGTACCTGGTGCGGTGCGTAAAAGTCACCGCCGGGGAAATAAAGGGCCATCGTTGGCACCGCTTCTGCTCGCCGAACGGCACTTGCCCCGTCAAGTGTGAAGGCTACGCGGTGGGGAACCTTTGTCTTTTGCAGGAGGTGGCGCGTACTTGAGCGGTGCCAAGCCGGCCGCCGTCTCCTCCAGCGCGTTCTTCCCGCAGACCAAGGTCGTGACCTTTGACCAGGCCAACGCCTCCGCCATTGTGGGTGAGAGTTCGATTCCCAGCCGCGGTCAGCACGCGCGCGTGTGCGTGTGTGGGGAGCGGTGGTGCGGTAGCGGTTAGCGCTGCGAACCTGGCGAACCGAGTTCGATTCCCGCTCGCGGCCAACACGATTATCTGAACGGGTCCTGGGCCTCCCCTAGGTCGACTCGGCCTCAAATTAGTACCTGGTGCGGTGTGTGGTAAACATCGCCACTGGGGAGACAAAGGCGGTCGGGCGTGGTGCTCGCAGCCCCACCCGCTTCGTGTGCCGTGCCGGCCTTCACAGGCGCTACTCGCTCGCGAGCACTTGCCCCAACGGTCCGTCAAGGCTACGCGCGGGGGATCTTTGTATTTGTCGACAGCCAAGATCAGCGACCTCAATAAGCAGGTTGCGGAGACTCTGCGCGCCTCCGATGGCGACCTGCAGGCTCTGCAGACCCTGGCGGACTGCGCTACTCGGCCGGAGACGGGGGAGACGATCACAACGTCCCAGCTCGAAGCGCTGGAGCTCGTGCTGAGCTGGCCAGATGGTACGGCCCAATGATCGTTCGTTCACTCACTCCTCGTTCGTTCACTCACTCCTCGTTCGTTCACTCACTCCTCGTTCGTTCACTCACTCCTCGCTCGTTCACTCACTCCTCGCTCGCTCAGTCTCCCACACACACACACAGGGCGTTGTACAGCCTAATGCTCATTCATTCACACAGGGAACGGTACAGCCCCAATGGTCATTAATTAGTTAAATCAGACAGCTTCGATTGGAACGGATGGCTACATACAGTGCGAAAGAAGTTCATCATACAGCAGAGACCCGTAGACTCACACAGCAGAGACCCATAGACTCACACGGCAGAGACCCATGGACTCACACGGCAGAGACCCATGGACTCACACGGCAGAGACCCATGGACTCACACGGCAGAGACCCATGGACTCACACGGCAGAGACCCATGGACTCACACGGCAGAGACCCATGGACTCACACGGCAGAGACCCATGGACTCACACGGCAGAGACCCATGGACTCACACGGCAGAGACCCATGGACTCACACGGCAGAGACCCATTGACTCACACGGCAGAGACCCATGGACTCACACGGCAGAGACCCATGGACTCACACGGCAGAGACCCATGGACTCACACGGCAGAGACCCATGGACTCACACGGCAGAGACCCATGGACTCACACAGCAGAGACCCATGGACTCACACAGCAGAGACCCATAGACTCACACAGCAGAGACCCATAGACTCACACAGCAGAGACCCATAGTTTGTCACCCTTCCCCCCGCACCTCCGATTAGCACGGTTGGCTACATACGGTGTGAAAGAAGTTCAACGTACACATTACGTTTCCATGACCGCCTGCCACTCACCCCCCCCACCCGTGCACTCCCCCAGAGTTTCTCTTCCCCGCGCTGGACATACTTCGCCTCTGCCTGCGCCTGGACGTCCCCAACAAGCACTTCCTGGGGGCCGCCTGCGGCCCGGCGCAGCTCTCCCGCCTCCTGGCGCTGACCTCGGCGCCCAAAGCCGGCGCCGCCGCCCCGATGCTGGCGCTGCGAGCGCTCTGCAACGCCTGCAGCCGCGACCCCGGGCGGCGGCTGATGCGAGAGCGGCGCTCGCGGGTGGTGGAGGGGGCGCTGGAGCTCGTCGGCTCCGACAACCGCAACGTGCAGGTGCCGACGGCGCTGGCGCCGAGACTTTAGAACTGTGGCAACGAGACTGTGGCACTAGCACTGAGACTATGGCACTAGTACTGAGATTATGGCAGAGAGAATATGGCTCTAGCACTGATATTATAGAACTGAAACTAGAGCACCGAGACAATGGCTCTAGCACTGAGACTGGCATTGAGACTGGCACTGAGATTATAGAACTGAAACTAGAGCACTGAGACTATGGCACTGAGATTATGACACTGAGATTATAGAACTGAAAATAGAGCACTGAGACTATGGCACTGAGGTTATAGCACTAGCATGGAGGCTGTAGGCCTAACACTGAGCCTATGTGTCCTTGTCTCCCCATGCCCCCATTGACCTTCGTCCCCATGCTTCCCCCCTCCTGTCTCCCCGCGCGTCTCTTCCCACGTCCCCCCGCGTGTCCTCCCCACATCTCCTCCGCGTGTCCCTCCCACTCCACGCCTCTCCAGGTCGCGCTGGCCACGCTGCTGCTCAACTACGCCGTCCTGCACAACGAGTCCTCCTCCTCCTCAGCGTCATCCCCAAACGCCGCCGCCGACGGCGACGACGACGAGGCCACGACCCAGCTGCTGTCGGCGGCTGTGGCGCTGCTGGAGCGGCGGCCGGACGCCGAGGCGGCGTTCCGGCTGCTCGTGTGCGTCGCCACGCTGCTGCTACGCGGCGGCGGCGGCGGCGGCGACGCCGCCCGGAGGCTGAGCGACGCGCTGGGGGTGAGGGCCCACGCCGAGCGCTGCGCCGGCCTGCCGGGGGCCCCGGCCAAGCTCACCGAGTGCGCGCGCTCGCTGCTGGCCTTCCTGTGATCGGCGCGGGCCGCGTAGGATGGTGGGTGGGGCGGTCGGTCGCGTACGGTGCGAAAGAAGCTTAAACGTGTCGGACAAAATGGTTTTGCGAGTCCAGGACGTGGAGGCCACAGTGGGGGGGGGGGGGGGTGGAAGAACGGCGGTGGCGTGGGGGGGGGACGCCCCGGTGAGGCACGTGGTGGGTGGGGTACAGTGCAACACCGCGGGAGTTTGGTGGGACATGGGGTAGTTCAGTGGGACTGGGGTGGGGGGGGGGGGAGATGCTGCTAGCGTCCTCTTGCCCTGTGTCGTCCACGATGGTCGACACGCACGACGCGTACGTTCAACTTCCTTCGCGCCGCAGGTCGCCAAACCGCGCTGATCGAGGAGAGCGCGGTTCGGCCACCTCGCGGCCTCGCGAGCGTGGGGTGGACGACGGCGACGACGACGACAAAGCTTGGGCGAGGCCGTGGCTCGCAGCCCGGTGTTTTTTTGAGTCTCCTCGTTAAGTGACGGCAACGGGGCGCCGTTTGCCACCGAGTGGCGATGGCGTCCCCGCGGCGCCTGCGCCAGGCTAGGTGCACTTCCAAGGCCCGCCACGTGAAGTGTCGAAGGCTCGCTGCTGGCGGGAGGAGGTCACGGGACGGAGCCAAATGCACCAGCTTACCGTGCCAACTTGGGTCAAATTAAAAGATGGCTACACACACATGCGCGCACACACACAAACTGTTGGGGCAAGTACTGTTAGAGGGGGTGGGTGGCCAGCACCACGCACGGCCGCCTTTGTATCCCCAGTGGCGATGTTTACTGCACACCGCACCAGGTACTCATTTGAGGCCGAGTCGACCTACGGGAGGCCCAGGACCGGTTCAGAGAGTCACCGGTGTTGACCGCAACCGGGAATCGAACTCGAGTCGCCGGTTTCGAAACGCAGCGTGGTAACCGCTACACTACTGCTGCCCCTGCACACACGTGTGATCACTGGTGGACCCGGGGGGGGGGGGGGTGTGGTGGCACGTGCCTCCCCCCAATGATCCGATTGAAATCGCTCATTTTGATTGTATCATTGGGGTTTATTAGTAATAAATCGGCATTTTGCGACCCCCCACTGCCACTGTGTAGCATATTATTACGTGCCAGGGACTCTATGAGATGATAGGACAATAGTCCGAGTCCATAATTGGCAATAAGTAACGGCAAAGCGGTTATAAGTGACTCACAGAATTGTGCGCAGTTGCGAATACAGAGTCCACGACTTCCCTGAAGGCATCGACACCTTCAGCGAGCGCGATGCCGATCACACAACGCGGTTCGAATTCGACCCTCGATCGATGGCTGCGCCATTGCCGCCCACATGTCGAATAAAAAGCAAGGGACAAGTCCTTACTTACGAACAACTCCTTACTTACTAACAACTCCTCTATCATGTTTAATTGCTGGAGGGGTTGCCCCCCGCTACCTGAAAATCCTGGCTCCACCATTGCGTTTGATAATGTAAGTGACGTGTCGTTAACCCACCACCACCCAACACGGCCAATCAGAGGAGACTTGTCACACAAACAAAACGTACCCCCGAATTGGTTACTAGTTCAGCGCTTGCCAGCTGCGTGTTGGTGACAGAGCCTGCAACAACTATGCCCTCCCCACTCCCCACCCCAAAGACGAGATGTATCATACTGCCTCCCCCCCCCCATTACATCACCTTTACCCTCCCTGCACCTGTACATTGAAATTGCCCCGGTGGGGTTCCCTGTACGTGTACATTGGATTTGTGCGCGAGATTGGTTTTAAGATTTCTCGCCCCCAAAATGGTTGAAAATTAATAAAAATGAATAAACTTCACGTTTTTGTTTCGTTTTAAACTCCGCGTGCTGCGAGGTTTTTGTTGTTTTAGTGCGGGACCTTTCCAAGGTTGCCTCAGCCGAAAATGATAATCGAGTGACCGTTCTGTGATGTAAACCATCACGCCAACGCTCGGGTAAATCCTCGCAAAGACGGGGCCGCTCACCACCGCCGCATCAACAGGCGGCACTTTCAGATGCGCCGCTTCTGCGGCCGTCTGGAACGCGCTCTGGATATTAGGAAACCATTAGGACCTGCGCACTTTTAAAATCATCTAGTTTTACAAACTAAAACTGCTTTTTGTTTCATTTGTTCCCCCCCCCCCCCCAACACAGATTTGTTCATATTAAAGATTTTTTTGTTGGGTTAGATTGCCAGTGTTGCACACTTGCCTACACCTGGACATTACCAAAACACTTAGAGCAAACCCACAACATGTTACGATTCAAGTACTTTGACGTTTCGCAGGCTATTACAACCAGCTTCATTTGTAGGCGATAGCCAGAATCGCCTGCAAATGTGTCGTATCGGAACACACTGACGGAATCCGATTCCGACCCTGCCGATGCCTGCTGTATATTTGGAGTTTGTGTGTCCCTCTCATCACCACGGTGGCTAGGCGATATTTCCTACCTCGCCCAGTATGCAGGAGGTCGCGAGTCCGATCCCAACCTTGACGACGCCCGCTGTATATTTGAAGTTTGCGTGTCTCTCCCAGTGGCTTTTTCTCCAGTCGTCTGGTTTATGTTTTCCCCCCTCCACATTGAGAATCGACGTACGTTGACTATCGGCAGCCAGCCGCTATAAAATTTCCACGCGACAAGCCGCTTCTCGTTGAGCTATAACTTGCGAGGGCAAGGTCGCTTCTGAAGAATAATTACACGTAGCTCAGTGGGGCCCCTTGGCTGGTAAGACTTAAAAAAAAATTGTTTAGCTTAAGAGGTTAGCGAGTGGTGAAATCAGAGGCCATCTTTATTTTGACAGCGCACAAAATAATCACGAACCCCGACCATTGGTACAAATAAGCGGAATTGTTAAAGGAAAGCGTTGGCCCGTTTTTTAACAGGCACATTAACCAGGTTGTAGTGCAATGGGTTTGATCAATACGGTTAAGTCTTAAACTTTTGAACAATTCAATGAACCTGTCAAAATAATTAATGAAGCCACGGGAGCTACGCACTTTTAAAAATCGATCGAGATTTTTTTTTTAAACTAATTTCGTTTGAACTGCCTTGTGTGCGAGTTTGTTGTCAAGCCCCCCCCCCCACCACCTCCGATTTAGCACGGTTCGCTACGTACGGTGCAAAAGAAGTTCAACCGTACATAGACTCGCGCAGAGAGCCATAGACTCGCGCAGAGAGCCATAGACTCGCGCAGAGCCATAGTTTGTCGTCCTTCCCCTACACCTCCGATGACCACGGTTGGCTACGTACGGTGCAAAAAAAGTTCAACGTACACGCACACAGACGATTCAAGTATTTTTCCTTTGGAATGATTGCGGGGGGGTGGGCCTCAAGTGGCCGGAGGGGGTGGAATTTAAAAAACGCATTCCATGAACGGCGCACGAAGTCGCGTTCAGCAAGTGTTCTTCTTCTTCTTCTTACGCGGCTGGACTACGTTGGCTGTCGCTGTTGTTAGCGGTACAAGCGCCGCTACGACACCGACAACCAGGTTCAACACCCTGGCTACGCAAGTCCACGTACGTTGAACTTCATTTCGCGTCACCGTACCGTAGCCAACCGTGCTAATTGTAGGTGCGCGGGTGGTTGAGGGGGGGGGGGAGGACGACAGACGAAAAGGCACAAAAAGCAGTTTCGAAAGAAAAGAGTTTTCAATCTCGATTTGAAGTTAAAGAGCTCCAGCGGCTTCCAAATACGGCGACTCCTTTTACTTACCAACGAGTTAGGTTCCACGGGTCTGTTCGTACATCCAACTTTACTCTCGGTCAATTCAAAATGGGTTATACTGCGTATACACTGTACACGGGGAAATGGCTTTATGTAGATGCCACTGGTTCATGTTCCGCAGATGTAGATGCCACCACCGCCATCAATTGCCCGGCGGTTGAACACGGTCCCAACAGGCAACTTGGACGTACAGACCAGGTTTGTTCGTATCTCAAGTAGAGTGTTTATAAGTGGAGGAGAGTCCCTGGATCGGAAGGCTACAGACATGCAGTGTCGCCCATAACATGGGGGGGTGTGGGAGGAGGGTGGAGTCCCCTACCCACCCCCTCGCCTAGGTCGACTCGGACCAAAATATTACCGCGGTGTCGGCAGCGAGGAAAAACACGCGCAGAGCTGCGCCCTGCACAAACGGGGGGCACGCCAACGCCACAGCCGCCCCCTCTCCCCACCACCACCACCACCACCGCCGCCCTCCCCACTCCGCGGTGAAGTATGACCAAAACGCCCTTCACGATCGACGCGTGACATCGCAAGGCCTGCATCCAGCAGCGGATCAAGAGCGTTGCATTTTTTTAAAAACGAGATTAACAGCGCTTGCCTTAATGTGCAACGAAACAAAAATCTAACCGAGAGGCTTTCGAGTCTTTAACCCTCTCAACACCACGTCCGAGACGTCCGCAAAAGTCGCAGGGGTTGGGGCTGTGTGGGTCCCGGTGTCACGTGCTCGCGGGTTTGGCATTAAATTTATATAGAAGTAGTAGTAGTAGTAGTCGTAGCAGGAGTCGTGCCCCGTTGTTTTCGCAAAGACATCGCTACTCACCCCGCGGAGAACCGCAGCGGCACGACCGCCGCCACTCTACGACAGCCGGCGCCAAAAGCACTGCTTTAGGCCCTTTGCGGGAGCCTCGGTACGGCACCTTCGCGAACCCTGGCGACGTACCGATAAAGTCGATTTGACATTTTTTTTTTTAATTTGTATTTATATTTCCCGACGACGTTCAACGCGCGTCAAAATCGGAGCAACGCGAGAGGGTTAATCTTTTCGGCGGCATCCAAGGAACTAAATTTGACCCCGAGAACAAAGCGCAGCGGGGGGAAAAGCCTGGGAGAGGGGTTTCTCTCGTGTAAATGGTGTACAGGCGCGCGATGGGCTTCAGTGATTGGGCAGCATGACCGAGGCTTCGGCGCCATCCTGCGGAAAGGGGGGGGGGCGGGGGGGGGGGGGGGAGGGGCAAGGGTGGTGGGTGGAGAGGACAAGAGAGAGACTCGGGACGAACGTCGCCAAATGGTTTATCGTCCACGGGCAACATTTCCAGGAGATTTAAACGAAGCGATGTTTTCTACTTATCCGTGAGCAGGGCTCCCCCCCCCCCCACTGGAGCCGTGCAGCTCTTTTTCGGAAGAGACCCTGGCCGTCACAAATGACAGCTTCAACCAAGCGGGCTCATCATCATCATCATCACCACGTGGAAATTTATAGTAGCGGCCAAATACTCTTGAAACGCGCGAAGTCGATTTCTGAATGTGGAGGGGGAAAAAAAAAAAAACGGAGGACCGGGAGAAAAATCCACGCAAACTTCGGATATACAGCAGCAGGCGTCAGAGGGGTTTGGTATCGAACCAAAGATCTCCTGCATACCAGGCGAGGTAGTCAACATCTCGCTACCACAGCACCCATTTGTTGTTGCCGCTTAAGGTGGCAGCAGCAGCAGCGGCGGCGGCTTTTGGCTCGGCTGTCGATGCTAAGACGGTCGTCGGCCGCATCGTCGCCCGCGTCGTCGCTTTCAGATGCCGCTTCTGCATCCGTCCGTCGCTGCCGTCGTTAAACTTTCTGCATCCCCCGCGCCCCAAGTGGACCGTGCGCGGGAAAAATAAAACTTCACGGTTCACCGGATTCCTCCAGAATGCAGGAAAAATGATTTCGATTCCGGGCCCATCGGATCGACTCGGGCCACGTACCTTGAGCTCCTGCAGGGTCCGGCTCCAGTCCTGGGCCGCGATGTACGGCACCGCGGTGACCAGCAGGCTGGTCACCTTGGCGGCGTTCTGCCGGAACGTGGCCATCACCTTCTCCACGCTCACCTGCGGACGGACGCGCTCCGACGGCGGTAAAAATTTTCGCCGACCACGCCGACGACAATGTCGGCGTGGTCGGCGGGCTGCTGCCGTGTACAGCAGCAGCAGCGACCGAAGCCGTAGCCCTTCTCCTCCGAATCACCTAGGCCTACGTGAAAACTACGTGCGATGAAGGCGTCCCGTGAAGGAGGGCCGTTGCTCGGGAACGTCTCCCATTGTGTCACGGTGGCTAGGAGACGTTAACTACCTCGCCTGGTATACAGGGGGTCGTGGGTACGATCCCGACCCTGACGTCTGCGTGCGTCTCTCTCTCTCGTTCATCATCATCATTATCATCACGGTGGCTAGATGTTGGCTACCCTCGCCTGGTATTCAGGAGATCGTGGTTTCGATCCCCGTACACCAGTCGAGGTAGTTAACATCTCGCCACAGTTTTGAGTGGGTGGGCGAGTGCGAGCGGACCTGCGAGCGTGCGAGCGCGAGCAACTGTGGAATGACACCGTGTCTGCCCTTGGGAAGAAAATAAAGAGCTTCTCGGCTCTACGTGCTTTACTTGGGCGAAATAAATCTTCAGATTTCGTCACCGTTCCATCTCCTTCAAAAGCACCGCCCCCCTCTCCCCACCCACTCCGACGCTCACAGTCTCTGCCACCGCCGGTGTACCCCCCCCCCCCCCCCCCAACCCAACCCCCACGCGCCCCGCCAACCCCCTGTGCCGCCCGTACCGGCTCGTCGCCGTCCCTCCAGCAGTCGTAGTCGGTGACCATGGCGACGGCGGCGTAGGGCAGCGCCAGCTCGCGCGCCAGCACGCACTCGGGCACGCTCGTCATGTTCACGACGTGCGCCCCCCACGCGCCGAACAGGCGGCTCTCGGCGCGGCTCGAGAAGCGCGGCCCCTCGATGGTCACCACCGTCCCGGCGGCGTGCGCCCGCACGCCCAGCTCGCGCGCGCACGCCACCAGCGCCTGCGTGGTGCGTGGTGGTGGTGGTGGTGGTGGGTGGGCGGACAGGGGGGGTGCGAATCGCCGCGTCACCGCCGTGCAGCGGCACCAACGACGACGACGACGACGACGACAGCCGCCGCCGCGGGCACGGACCGCCAAAGCTTGGGCAACGCCGCGGGCCGCAATAGCGGCGATGTTGCACGTGTGTCGCAGCGAGCTTATCGGTTTTTAAAATCTCCTGGTGAAGCGCCGTGCGACGCTTCGTGCCCGTCGCGTGGAAGCGGCGGCGTCACCTGGCGCAGACGCGGGCAGAACGGCTCGGCGATGGGGATGTGGCACACGCCGGGGGCGCTGCCCCCCGCGCCGTCGTAGAAGGTCTGCTCCCGCTTTGTCGTCCTGAGCGGCGGCGAGGATGACAACAAACAACAATCATCAACATCAACAACAACCAATCAACGACGAACACTGCCGTCCCCGGGGGGCACTCCCGCAGACTTATAAAATTAAAAATAAAAAAACTCAAAACGGGAGCCGGTCAAGTGACCAACCCACCTGGCCCCTCTCCCCCCCCCCCCCACCCCGAACTACGTGACCACCACACGCCGCCCCCTCTTGCTCCTCCACAACGCGCGTCTGTACGGAACGTTGAACTCCTTTCGCACCGCGCGTAGCCGACCGTGCTAAACGTTTTTTTTTTTTTTTAATCGGAGTTGCAGGGAGCACCGATTAAGGATTCACTCCGCGCGTCCCGAGCCGGCGTTGTCGCGAGCCGGGCCGGGCCCCCTGCCCGGCCCCCCCGTCGCCGGCAGCGCCCGGCCTTGCCGGCATTGCCGGCGTAAAATGGACAGCGGCCAGCCGCGTACCGGTCGATGAACTGGTCGAGGAAGACGAGGTCGCCGGGCCGGATGTCCTCGCGGAGGGAGCCGCAGGCCGTGGTGGCGAGGACGTGCGTGGCGCCCGCGGCTCGCAGGGCCCACAGATTGGCGCGGTAGTTGATGCGGGACGGCGGCAGCGAGTGGCCTCGCCCGTGGCGGCCGAGAAGCAGGCACGGCACGGGCCCCATTCGGCCCGAGATGATCGCATCGGACGGCTGAGAGGTGGGGGGGGGAGAGACGTTACAGTGTGTAGATTCCAGATTTGTCATTTACAATGTTTTGGTGAAATTTGGCCGGCCCGTCAAGGCGGTGGCCATAACACGCAACGGGTTTTTTTGGGTTCGATCGTGTAACTGTATAAATGTGCCGTTAAAGCCGCCGCCGCCGCCAATTAACCAAGGTTTGTCACGTAAACAGAACGTGCCAATTCGTCACTAGTACAGCAACACCGGCGCGTTGGAGGGCAAAGCCAGAACGTTTACAATCCGAGTACGGCGTTTCACCGGTAGTTACAACCGGCATCATCAGGCAGCAGCCAGATTTGCGGAGAAATCCTCCTACTTCGTCCCTCAAGTAGAAGGGTAAATGTGATGGCATCCCCGCGGCGCACGCGCGATGGCCCTGCTCCTGCGAAACGGCGTCAAGGGGGATCTGTGAACGTCGATCGCGAGCAAAGGAATCATTTTAGATTTCGATTTAAAGCTTTCGTGACTGCAATGATTCATCTTCTTTGGTTCTTTCGGTAAAGTTACGTAGAATGAGAATAAAATAATAAATTGTGTTATTTTATTTCATCAATTTATTATTTTATTCTCATTCTACGTGACTTTACCGAAAGAACCAAAAAAGAATCATTTTAGAATCGACGTGCCGGTCATAAGCACATTTGACTGCTGCTATAAATTTCCGCACGATGATGATGACGGCGATGACGGCGATGACGATGCTGACGCTTCGTTGAACTATCATTTGTGATGGCCAGGTGGAGTCTGAAAAAGAGCTGTACAGTAGTACAGGGACTCTCCTCGACTTATGAACATTCGACTCACGAACTTTGAGAACTACGTACAAACCCGGTCCGTACGTCCAGTTGCCTGTTTGGACCCGAGAGAAGTTCAACCACCGTGCAACAGATGGTGGCGGTGGCATTTACATCTGCAGAACGTGAAGAACCAGTGGCATCTACATCTGCAGAACGTGAAGAACCAGTGGCATCTACATCTACAGAACGTGAAGAATCAGTGGCATCTACATCTGCAGAACGTGAAGAACCAGTGGCATCTACATCTGCAGAACGTGAAGAACCAGTGGCATCTACATCTGCAGAACGTGAAGAACCAGTGGCATCTACATCTGCAGAACGTGAAGAACCAGTGGCATCTACATCTGCAGAACGTGAAGAATCAGTGGCATCTACATCTGCATAACGTGAAGAACCAGTGGCATCTACATCTGCAGATCGTGAAGAACCAGTGGCATCTACATCTGCAGAACGTGAAGAACCAGTGACATCTACATCTACAGAACGTGAAGAACCAGTGGCATCTACATCTGCAGAAAGTGAAGAACCAGTGGCATCTACATCTGAAGAACCACTGCCAAAACAGAGAATGCGATGAACCTTTTCGTGAATGGGCATCGCCAATTGGCCGAGGGCGTGGCTCAGCCCCACTTAACGAGCGGCTCGGATTGGCCGAAATTGGCGCCATCGCGGGCATAATGTCGACGTTATACGGTTGCATCAAGATAAGAGTTTTTTTGGGGTTAGATTGGGTAAATATAAGATGTGTCGTTAAACCCGCCACCACCCGACACAGCCAATTAGTAAAGGGGGTTTGTCACGTAAACAAAACGTGGCCCAATTCGTTATTACCGTCCATAAATGACGTCACGCACCTGGGAGGGGGGGTCAGACATTTGTGACGATGTGTGACGAGGGGGGGGGTTTGAGACATGTGACGTCACATCAAAGTGCGCAACTTTAAATAAACAGACAACACGTTCTGCTTAATTAAATAGATTTTTTTAATCTAAATGTTTTCTCCCACAACATCAGAGTGCAGCGCCACATTAAATACGCACTACAATGACAATAGTTTAAAGCGATTTGAAGCATGTTATCTTTTTTGGGGAGGGGGGGGGCAGAGCTTTGTGACGTCATATTTGAGGGGGGGGTCTGACTTTTTGTGACGTCGTGTGACGAAGGGGGGGGGGTAAAATATCGTCCAAAATCACGTGACGTCATTTATGGACGGCCCCTTACTAGTACGGCACTCCGGTGGTGTGTTGGAGAGTAAACGCACTACATTTACAATTGGAGCGCTTCAACATTTTAACGGTTAGTCGCCTCCATGGGGTTGCTACGGGAGGCGTTAAACGTTTACCGATGTCACCGTTAACCCGAGGGACTACTGCATAGCTCAAGTGGGCCTTACCTGGTCAAGTAAAAAAAAAGTTTAATCGTTAATATCTCCCCGTTGTTGTTGTTGGTTATTGTTGTAGCGCCCGTACCTTCCCATAGGGAGTGTCCACGTGGATCTCCTGCCGGTCCTCCAGAATGTCGGGGTCATCCAGACCCGTTCCCCCGATGATCCCAATCTGTCCGGGGGTGGTGGCGGCAGAGGAGCGGGGGGGGGGGAGAGAGGGACAGGGGTCCGGGTAACCTTGGTCAGAGTTACAAGACTAACCCATTTCCCGTTCCGAGATGCCTGAAAAGTTTAAGTGGCGGGGGGTGGGGGTCCCCGTTCACCGCCGAATGTCGGTACGGAGCGAGCGGGTTCAGCGTTAAATGTTGATTCGGAGAGAGGCGTGGTCGTAGTAAGAGGAGGAAGAGTAGCGGTCCATTGTGTTTATGAAGACACCGTTACTCAGCCGTAGAGAGAGAACCGCCAAAACCTGGCATTACGGGCGCCTCGGTACGTCTTCGGGATCGAAAAGTGATCTTATTATTTTTAGTTTTTCTTCCGATTCCGCTGCGATGACGTACGGACACGCCATCGGAAGCCCCTTCCCGTGGATAATATTGACAAAAGGTTTTTTTGGGTTCGATTGCGATGACGCAATGGTAAAAGGGTTCAAGTTGAGTTTCTGTTTGAAACCAGGCTTGGGACGTGAGAGAGAGCGAGACGAGGAGGAGGAGGTTTAACACGCGGCAGGCTTCCGCGGCCAACATTATCCAGAGCAGAGGTTTTGTGGGTTAGATCGCTTAAGCATACAATCTTGACTCAAAGCTTTCGTGACTGCAGGAATTCATATTCTTTGGGTCTTTAGGTAAAGTCACGTAGATAGGCTTCAAAGATTACGGGACTTCACCGAAAGACCCAAGAATATAAATAAACAATGTTGTGTCGTTAAACCTGCCGCCACCACCCGACACAGCCAATCAGCAAGGGGGGGAAGGGGAACGGGGCTTTGTGTCACGTGAACAAAACGTGGCCAATTCGTTACCGGTAACAGCGCTAACCGGGTGAGTGTCGGAAAGCGAAACCCACGACGACATTGACCACGGGGGGTCTCGTTCGAGAGAGCGACCCAGGGTCGAGGGAGACATGACGCTAGCAATGAAGAATGCCGCGGAAACGAAACCGAAGTACTGCGAGTCGTCACATGACGCAACGCACGCGCCACCACCTCCCGTCCAGCGGCACGCATGCAAAAACATCGTGCGAGACTTGTTTTTTTACAATGTACATTTCAAATCAGAATATTTATTTATCCTGGAAGGAATCCCACGAGGTTTAAAAGCTCTTCCCCCCACCCCCCCCCACCAACGCCCAGTTCGGTTTCGCAGATGTTCAGCAGGGAATCTGCAATGATTCGGCAAACGGATCGAGTCATCAAACCCGACGATCGCGGGCGTAAATCGATCGATTACCCCAAATAAAATCGGGAATAGACATTCCCACGCTTTGTAAATGGGGCGAGACCTCACCTGGGTGGGGGCTAGTAGATGTTAACTCCCTCTCGTCTGGTGTGCCACCGAATTCCAAAAAAAAAAAAATTTGGCTCTTGTTATTTTGATTGCGAGAAGCCCTCTGGCCTAGATCAATGCTCATTTGTAACTCGTACAGGTCTCGTGTGCAAGCCCTGGGGCCCACGCTGTGTTCAAAATGGTCATGGCAGAAGGCACCGGGGTCTACACACAACTAAACTATTTTTTATTTATTTTACCAGGTAAGGCCCCACACCTAGCTGCTACGTAGCTCTTTGTCAGAAGCGACCCTGACCATCGCAAATAATATCTCAACGAAGTGGCTTCATCATCACCATGTGGACGTGTATAGCAGCAGCAACATGCAGTACTCTAAACACACACACACACGTTTCTAAGATGTGGAGGGAAAACCCAAGAGGACACGGTGAAAAACCCACACAACCACAGGGAGAGAGCGAGAGAGCCATTCAAACTCCAAATATACAGCAGGCGATAAGCGTTGGGATCGAACCTACAAAGCTCCTGCATACCAGGCGAGGTAGTCAACATCTCCTAGCCACCGTGATGATGATGAGAGAGAGAGAGACACGCAAACTCTGAATATACAGCAGCAGCAGGCATTGTCAGGGCCAGGATCGAACCCACGACCTCCTGTACACCAGGCGAGGTAGTCAACATCTCCTGGCCACCGTGATGATGATGAGAGACACGCAAACTCCAAATATACAGCAGCAGGCGTCGTCAGGGTTGGGATCGAACACACGACCTCCTGTATACCAGGCGAGGTAGTCAACATCTCATAGCCAAAATTAAATCTTGGATGGTTTCAAACGCTGGGGAGGCTCCGTTGTCTGGAGGCCCATAATGGCCATGTCGGAGACAACTTCTTAAGCCGGCAACCTCTGAGTACGCGGGTTCAATCAGAGCCCGGGTCTCTCCATCTCTCGCTCCCACTCGATGGGGTTCACAACGGCTGCGTTCGGCAACACTGCGACAAGAGGAGACGGAGCGATGAAATACACACACACACACACCAAAAAATATGTATACAGTATAACATTAATAATAATCCGCGAGAGAGAGCTTGTGAGCTCATCGGATTTCTCCAGGATAGAGTACGGACTCTTGATCGTGAGCAGGCGTCGGATGGGGCTGTATCGCCATCATCCCTAAGGTTGGTGGGTCGACGCCGCCTCTTGGGGTTGGGGGTTGGGGGCTGCCTTCGTCCAGCAGTGGATCGAGATCGTGGCTGGATGATGATGATGAAGAGGTCGGAGGGACCCGCTCTTCAAGCGTTCTGGCAACGAGCACGTGCTTTACTGTACAAAGACAAAGGTCCCCCGTGTAGCCTCTAACGGACTGTAGGGGCAAGTGCTGTTAGCGAGCAGCAGCCAGAGCACACGAGGCCGTGTGGGCGGCTACCAGCACCACGCCCGGCCGCCTTTGTCTCCCCCGTGGCGATGTTTACTACACACCGCACGAGGCCGAGTCGACCTAGCGGAGGCCCAGGAACGGTTCAGATAATCGTCACTGGGGTGTTGGCCGTGAGCGGAAATCGTGGCGCTAACTGCTGCACCACCGCTCCCCTTTGGCCACGACACACAAAGACACTCGCACAGAGACTCACACACAGACACACACAAACACTCACACACAGACACTCACACACAGGCACACACTCACACAAAGACACTCGCACACAGGCACACACACACAAAGACACTCACACACAGGCACTCACACACAAAGACACTCACACACAGGCACTCACACACAGACACTCACACAAGCACACACACAAAGACAAACACACAGACACTCACACAGAGACACTCACACACAGAGACACTCACACACAGAGACACTCACACACAGAGACACTCACACACAGAGACACTCACACACAGAGACACTCACACACACAGAGACACTCAGACACACAGAGACACTCAGACACACAGAGACACTCACACACAGAGACTCACACACACAGACACTCGCACAAAGACACACACACTGGCACACACACAAAGACACACACACACAGAGACACTCACACACAGAGACACTCACACACAGAGACACTCACACACAGAGACACTCACACACAGAGACAATCACACACACACAGACACACACACTCACACAAAGACACACACTGGCACACACACAAAGACACACACACAGACACTCAGACACACAGAGACACTCACACACAGACACTCACACACGGCCCCCAAACACAACAACAGCAGCAGCAACCATCATCACCACCATCAGCCATGGTCGATCCACTGCTGGGTATGAAGTTTCCGACGCAACCGCCCGTTGCGATGTAACTAACAACAATAACAAACAACAACAACAAAAATCGAAGGGGCGCGCGAGAGACGCCGTCGTTGACTAATTAAGGTCCGCGCCTTCGTAGGTGAGAACGCCGATCGGACAGGGGTCGGTACCTTCACGGCAGCCATAACGGGGTCGAACACGCGCCCAACCAACCCCCCCCTCTAATCTCAAGGGCCGTGATGGTCTCGTCCAAACAGCATTAAGCCCCGCCCCCTTCCTCTGAGTTTACTTTCCCACAGTTGGGCTCGCCCAGCCTCGCGCGCTCTCATTTTATATGCGGTTGGGGAAGTACCACTGTGACCTGCGGGGGAGGGGGGGATTGGGTTAAACCATTACGAATGTATGTACAGGTCTTAAATATGTCGATGATTGAAATTTTTTTTTGATAGGCGCATGGTGGAGTATGAGCGGTGGCGCAACGGTTAGCGGCACTTTCCCGCTGAAATCGAGCGTGATATTTGAAGCGTTGAAAAAGAGCTTTGTGGCTCATCGGATTCCTCTGCACCGGGTGATCATTTGAGGCTGAGTCGACTTACACAACAACACACAGAGATACACAACAACAACCGCCATTCGCCACGAAGTGGCGGTGACGTCACCACGACGCTTGTGCCAGGCCACGTGCACATTGAGGCCACGTGAAGTGTCGAACGCCCGCTGGCAGGAGGTCACGGGGGAGACCCAGGTGCCACGGGTCGACTGACTGAGATGACTGGCTGATGCACCACCTGTGCCCCCAACTGTGCCAACCTGCTGTGCTTTAGCCACCCGGCGCTCCGCTCGTTGTTGTGAGCGTCGCTCCTCAGCCCTCCGTTGTTGTTGGAGGGCGACTGCCTCCAACTGCCCTGTAGCGTCCTTCACGAGCCTCCTCCACAGAGGCCGATCTTGACACCGCTGGTACCAGTCATCGGCAAGTCCACTCAGCTCCACGTCCCCCTGTACCACGTCACTCCATCTCTTCTCTAGCCAGTGCCGCGCCCGTTAAGCCCCCTCGATCCGGCCGAACAAAAGCTGTTTAGGCATGCGGTGGCTGGGCATGCGGGTTACATGGCCCAGCCAACGCAGCCTTTCCTGCCCGAGGAGCTCACCGATGGGACCTTGTCCAGATCTCATAAGGATTTGTGAGCTCCTCACACAATCCAGTCTGGTTAAACCCAGGATGGATCGTAGGCAGGCTAGCCTAAATGTTTCTAACCGGCGAAGATGTTCCATTAGGGGGGTCCACGTTTCGCAAGCGTAGAAAAGGGAAGGAACGACTTTGGCTAAGAAGACCTGAAGCTTAGTGCGAAGCGACAGACCAGGTAGCTTCCACACAGCTTTACGCAACCGATGAAAAGATATTGCCGCTCGACTGATTCGGAGTGAGACCTCTGCTGTTAAACTGGAGCCGGTCATAACCATACTGTCCAGGTATGGGAAACTCTCCACTCTCTCCACAACTGCCCCATCACCGATTGGGAGTTGTGGGGGTGGAGTGTCCGATGGAACAAAATACCCAGGCAGGTGCTTAGTTTTGGTGGGGCTGATGGTAAGGCCCCAACTCTTAGTGGCACGCTCCAGTCTCAGCAGCAGCGTCTCCAATTCCTCCTCTGAATGAGCAGCTATTACAAAATCATCGGCATACATAACGTGGTTGAGCAATAGGGAGCCATCCCTTGACTGCACCTGGGCATCGATCAGCCTCCCATTATATCGTACCAAATGGAAATTCCCCTGGTACAGCTATTGAAGGCTTCACGAACTACGTGGTCAAAATAGATGTTAAATAATGTGGGAGCCAGAGGAGATCCTTGTCGCACCCCAAGGTGTACAGGGAATGGCTCTGACTCTCGGCCACGTAATTTTACCCGGGCCCGCTCACCATCATGAAGGTCCTTAATGATCGTGAGCAGAGGGTCATTGACTCCGAAAGCACTAAGAACAACCCAGAGCCCAGGCCTACTAATGGTATCATAGGCCTTGACCAGGTCAATAAAGCAGAGATGTAGGTCCTGTTGGAATTCGCTACACCTCTGCTGTAGCAGACGGACAGAAAATATGGCATCTGTGCAGGACCGCCCTTTCCTGAAACCGCATTGGGGCTCCGCAAACCTCTCCTCAGCGTGCCTAGCAAGGCGATGTTGAATAATCCTTGCCAGGACCTTTCCCGGCACACTGAGGAGTGAGATGCCCCTGTAGTTGTTACAGTCTGTGCGGTCCCCCTTCTTAAAGAGTGGGACCACCAGGGCATCCTTCCAATCCTGCGGAACCCGTCCAGTGGTCCAGACTGTTGTTATGATGTCATGTAGGGCAGTCTGTGTACAAACGCCACCCTCCCTCAGCATTTTGCTTGGGAGGTCATATCTGCCCGGTGCCTTTCCTGGTCTCAGACTCCGGATCGCCTTCAGTACTTCCTCAACAGATGGCACCTCAGCCAGCCACTCACAGGGGGTGACTTATTCCAATATTTGAGGCACCGCAGCCTCAGCAGGGTTATCCCGACTTTGTGCCGCGATGCTTTCCTGGCAGAGGGATTTCCCCTCCCCCAGGACCTCACAGAAATGCTCAGCAAATCTGCAAACCTGTTCCTGAGGGTCGGAGATTGGATCACCTTTTTTCCCCTAATGATGGTAATAGGTGTGGCGCTGAAGGTTACTTTTTTGATGGAGTTAAATAGGGATTTGTGATCGCGGGCCACTGAGGCAGACTCAATCTCCTCAGCAACCCGCGACCACCACCCATCCTTGCAGCGCCTCACGGCTCTCCGAACCTCCGAGCGAAGGCTGCGGTAAGCCTCCTCATTCTCTGACGTGGGATGTTGTAGCCGATGAGAGTGGGCCTGTCGCTTTTTCTCAACCATCCTGAACACCTCCTCTGTCAGCCAGGGTCTCTGGGGAGGTCTGGACCGAGTACCCAAAGCAGCCATTGCAGCTGCATGAGTCACAGTCCTAAACCTCGCCCATTTACCCTCGACATCAGGAGGAGTGGGGGGGACGATGCCAACCCCAGCCACAAGATACACACACAGAGATACACACACAGAGATACACACACAGAGAGATACACACACACAGATACACACACACAGAGATGTCAGCGTTAGAATCAATTTATTTAGACTTGAGGAATCCGATGAGCTATGAAGCTCTTTTTCATTGTGTGTGTACTGCGGGGAGCGTTAGTGCGGCGATTAGCGCGTCGCGCCGGGTTCAGAAACCCGAGTTCGATTCCCGCTCATGGCCACCAACACCACCGGTGACGATTCTTTGAACCGGTCCTGGGGCCTCCCCTAAGTCGACTCAGCCTCAAATGAGTACCTGGTGCGGTGTATTAAACATCGCCACTGGGGAGACAAAGGCGGCCGGGCGTGGTGCTGGCCACCCGCCCTCTCGCGTGCCACAGCGCCGGCCTTCATAGGCGCTGCTGCTCGCTAGTAGCACTTGCCCCCAACAGTCTGTGAAGGCTACACGGGGGACCTTTGTCTTTGTGGCAGCTGTCTCCTCGTGCGTTGCACGACGCAGGTTTGGAGTGTCTGTGCGCTTCACGTTTCGAGACATTCGCTCTGTGCGCTATTTTGCTTACTACCGCATATCAACTATGAACTTTTGATTTATTTTCCCAGTTAAGGGTCCACATGAGCCGCTTAGCTCTTTTTTTTCAGAAGCGACCTGGCCATCACAAATGACAGCTCAACGAAGTGGTGGCTTCTTATCATCATCATCATCACGTGGAAATGTATAGCAGCAGTCAAATAACTCTGAACGCGTGTTTCTAAATGTGGAGGGGAACACCTGGGGGACCGGTAGAAAAATCCACGCGACCACGGGGAGAGAGAGAGACACGCAAACTCAAAATATACAGCAGCAGCAGGCGTCAGGGTCGGGATCGAACCCACGCCCTCCTGTACACCAGGCGAGGTAGTTAACATCTCCTAGCCACCGTGATGATGATGAGAGAGAGAGACACGCAGACTACAAATATACAGCAGCAGTAGGCGTCAGGGTCTGGATCGAACCCACGACCTCCTGTAGACCTTGCGAGGTAGTTAACATCTCCTATCCCAAATCAAATCTTGTATGGTTTCAAACGCTGGGGAGGCTCCGTTGTCTGTAGGCCCATAATGGCCATGTCGGAGACAACTTCTTAAGCCGGCAACCTCTGAGAATACGGGTTCAATCAGAGCTTGGGTGCGGGTCTCTCCCTCGATGGGTTCATCATGGCCCATGTCAGGGGACACCGAGTGTGAAGTCAGTGGAGCCCTTCAGGTGTAGTAGCGAAAATCAAACGCCAGGTGGCAGCAGACTCACGCGCACGGAAATTAAATCACGAATCCCGTTCAGCCGTCCTTCAGCGCCCCAAATCAATAGAGCGGACAAAACCCATCTTTGCCGAATCGATCTGCCCCTCCGCATTAAAAAAAAAACCCAACACATTGTTTTACACATCCCTTCAGTCACACGGCCCTTCTGAGAGTGCGCACACTGTGGACCCGGTGTCGCGACATCGATCTGAGCACGCCCGACTCCGCCCTAATATCGCGAGACAATCTTTAAAAACAAACACAAACATTTCTCTGCCGTGCCTTCATTTGTCCGATTCGGAGATTCGCTTCATCGTGGCCTGTATTACATCCAACAACCCCCCTCCCCGCCCCCGTCATAGGAACGTGGAATTTCCAGGGTAACTAATGACGATGACTGCTTTCGCCCAATGCCAATGCTTGAGCCACCCGGGTTAATGCTGAGCCAGCTACCCCCCTGAGCGGCATTTGATTCGGGTAATCGAATTCACGTAATTGCATCACGGCGCCTGTGCAGAATTGGGATCGCAAAGATCCCCCGTGTAGCCTCTAGCAGACTATTGGGGCAAGTGCTGTTAGCGAGTAACAGCAGCGCCTATGAAGGAGACAAAGACAAAGATCCCCCGTGTAGCCTTTAACAGACTGTTGGGGCAAGTGCTGTTAGCGAGAAGCACCTACGAAGGCCGGCACGGCACACGAGGGGGTGGGTGGCCAGTACCACGCCCGACCGCCTTTGTCTCCCCCAGTGGCGATGTTTACTACACACCACACCAGGCACTCATTTGAGGGGAGGCCCAGGACCGGTTCAGATCATCGTCACTGGTGTTAGCCGTGAGCGGGAATCGTAGTGCAGCGTAGCGCTAACCACTACACCACCGCTCCCCACCATGTCACACACAGACACACACACAGACACACACAGACACACACACACACACAGACACACACACACAGACACACACACACACACAGACACACA